GAAGTTTGGTCCTTAAGGGGTTAAGGAGGAATTTCAGGACCTCCCATTGAGTTGCCATCGGGGCAGAAGAGCCAGCTGCCCATGAGGCAAGCGATAGGCCTCTTTATTTAGGAACCATCATTGGCTCATGGCACCAGTGGGCGGAGTTACAGTACCCACAGCAGAAAGAAGCAATACGCCATCTTGGAAGTGGCAGAGAGAGAAAGCACAGCAGCAGCCCCTGCTAGATGTAAGTGTACAACATTAATATTTGCTCTCCCCCCAATGGCATCAGTGTTTGCCTGATGGCTGGTTAAGGAAGGGAATTTATGAAAATATGTAATCAATATATATAAAGCCAAGGAAGCTCAGAGAGTACAAGGGATGGGAGTGAAATTGCAGACATTTCTGACAGCACTGTGCTGCCTATCAGTAATAATTTTAATAACTCCTACTGCACATGATATAATTTAGGCTCAGCTGCCCAGTGCAAACCATCTTCTTTGCAGTGCGCAGTCACGCTGAGAATTAAAACACGTGCTGAGGCTAATTGAAAAGTTGTCAAAGGAACACTATAGGGTGCCCTATTGCCCCCCTTAAATAGAGAGCCAATTTGGCAATATAATAAATAACAAATTATCACAGGGAGCACTTTAAGCACTCCCTCGTGTTTTCGACAGCCATCAATGAATAAGTCAGAGTGCTGCCGCGAGTGATTGTTACAACACTCTATGGCCGACCTTACGGGTGGGAGAGCTGTGTGGCTGCACAGGGCACCATGGCAGGAACAAGTGAGGAAGATGGGGGTGAAGTTAAATAAGCTTGGGGGCGGAGTTGACACAGGCAGGTAATGCCAGGTTACTGCTGCACACTGAGGGGGAATCAGGAAGAAGTTCCTGCTTCCCCAACTACTAGACTCCAGGGGCTGCTGTGCCTCCACTCCTTCCCCCAGTGCCCATTATGGAAAGAGGTAACTGTCTAACTGTGTGTGTGTGTGACTGCCTGTAACTGTCTGTGTGTGACTGCCTGTAACTGTCTGTTTGTGGCTGTCTATAACTGTCTGCGTGTGGCTGTCTGCCAGAAGCTGTCTGTGTGTGACTGTCTGTAACTGTCTGCCAGTAACTGTCTGTGTGTGTGTGTGACTGTCTGCATAACTGTATGTATGTAACTGTTTGTGTGTAACTGCCTGTAACTGTGTGTGTGTGTGTGACTGTCTGCCAGTAACTGTGTGACGGCCTGCCTGTAACTGTCTGTGTGTGACTGTCTGCCAGTAACTGTGTGACTGCCTGCCTGTAACTGTCTGTGTGTGACTGTCTGCCAGTAACTGTGTGACGGTCTGCCTGTAACAGTCTGTGTGTGACTGTCTGCCAGTAACTGTGTGATGGCTTGCCTGTAACTGTCTGTGTGTGACTGTGTGCCAGTAACTGTGTGACGGTCTGCCTGTAACAGTCTGTGTGTGACTGTCTGCCAGTAACTGTGTGACGGCTTGCCTGTAACTGTCTGTGTGTGACTGCCAGTAACTGTGTGACCTTCTGCCTGTAACTGTCTGTGTGTGGCTTTCTGCCTGTAACTGTGTGTGTCTCTGTCTGTCTGTAACTGTGTGTGTGACTATGTATTTGGAACTGTGTGCATGTGACTATATTTGACAGTAAACCTGTATAACTGTGTGCATGTGACATGCCAAATTACACACCTGCACTCACACATGGACCCTACATGCACTTTTTAGAATCTGAATTAAATACCTAGCACAAATATCACACAGTCAATACACACATATATCACACACATTCAATACACCCATAACAACTATCACACACAGAGGCAGAAGCAGATGTGCAGACCAGATTCTAAGCACACTGAACCAATAGAGATCATCATGTACTGCTCACTGCAACAGGGAAGGGAGAATTTATATTTTTTGTTTTTTTAAAAACATTATTAATTTAATAAAGCCCCTATATAAACACTACACCCCTCTACAAACACTATACATAAATGAGCGGGTGTGACCAAGGAGGGGCGCTGTGAAGATTTTTCCACAAAGGGCGCCTAAAGGATTAAGGCCGGCTCTGGCTCTGACTCATTGCATGAATGAAGGAGCAAAAGAGCTTTTATGTGGTGTGCACCAGCTGAAGACTCATAACACATTGGACCACCAGTGATGGGTCAGCCGGGATCATACCTCTACAGCACCACCATGGATTATAACCCCTCCCTGCAGAAAGGTAGGCAGTAGGGTGGTAAAGCCACTTACAACCCCACACACAAACACACTCAGTCAACCCCACGCACAATCATACTTCAAAACCCCACTCACAATAACACTCAAACCCACGCACTGTCACACTTGGCCAACACCAAACTCAATCACACTCAGCCAACCTCACACACAATCACACATCAAATAACTTCACTGTAGCAAGAAAGCTGGACTAAATGTTATTCAATTATGTATTTTACAAGGTTTAATAATTAAAAATGATAGTTCTGAAAATTTTAAAAAGGGAGATTCATCTAACATTTTATCTTCACATCCATTTACAACATATAGATATAATATTTTCAGAAAGGTCGCTTATGTATTCTTTTTTTAATTCTGGAAATCGAATATTACATATGTATTTCACACTAAACTAATACATACATTTTGACAAATTTAGCCTTTTGCTCAACTGAAAAACAAAAAGATAACAGGAAACCAGAAAGCACAAAAGGAAGTGGGTTTACAACTTCTCAGTGAATTAAAATTAGAACTTTGCACATTATCATGTAATTGGGCATTTTCTGCCAACAGGACTTTTAACACATTTTGATAGAATGTTTTGCAGACAATGTATCCTTCATTGGAAAGTGCAGTTCCCTGACACCTCCTAGTTTTGTATGGTTACACAGCTTATTTAAAAGGACACTCTAGATACCCCATCCACTTCATCTTACTGAAGTTATTATGGTGCTTGGAGTCCACTGGTGTCCACTGGTGCAGTCTCACTGTGAATTGTTTAATGTATTCTATATCCCCCTCCCTCCACAGCGCTGCAAGGGTTAAAAAAAACAACCTTGTAACACTTACCTAATTCCAGCGCCGATCTCCCTCGGCACTGGATCAGAGCTCTGCCTCTTTCAATGTCTCCTAAAGTGGGGGCCTAATGGTCGGCTAGTGCCGTGAGCGCATTAGGCCCTCCCACTAGGAAAGCATTGCTTTGGGAATTTAAATGAAGCTGGATGTCCAACCCAAAGTCGCCTAGCAAGCAGGAAGTGCCTCTAGTGGCTGTCTGATTTGCAGCCACTAGTGGCAGTCTTAGTCCTGCAATGTAATTATTGCAGTTTCTGAAAACCTGCAATGATTTACATTGCAGGGTTGAGGGGGACAGGGATCCTGCACCTAGACTACTTCAATGAGTTCAAATAGTCTAGGTGCCTATAAAACTGTTTTTGAATGTTTTGACACTAAATAAGGATCCCTTGATCTCTTACTACACTACCTGTACTATCTATGTTGCCACTAACCTAGTTCACACATGAACCAATCCTGTTTGCATGATATACTTACATTTAAACTGATGCTTTAACGTTACATCAATTAAGTCTGATAAAATATGAAAAAAATGTGTCAGTTAATCTTGTACCCCGCATGTTAAGCGTGGGAAACGCCTGACGGTTGCTTTTGGGGCACCTCAAGCCTGCCTGTATCATTTACGTGCACTACAAAAATAAAGAATTTAACTAAAAAAATAAATAAATAAAAAAGTAGAATTAAATAAGGGTCCCTGGCACGTGTGCTTCCATATTAGTCCTGTGATTGGGAAGCAGTGAAAGACTGAGAGTCTATTACTAAAGCCAAGTAACACCTTAGCCATACCGACAGTGTGGTGTAGTCTGGGTACCGTCATTCACTAAAAGACAGACTCATAATGCTTTAATATTAAAAAGCTTCATGTTCTCTGTCTGGATGGTACTTTCCCAGACCCTAAAGAGCACAAATCTAAAACTAGCATAAAAATGTCACACATGTACATTACTACCCACTCAAACATATTAACCATTCACACACCGAATCAATCACAGCACTCCAGCATAGATCAGTTCCCCCTAAAGTCACCCCTTTCCAGCCACACCACCCACAATCATTAATACCATTTGGTGACGGAGTGAATGCTCGTTATAAATATATGAGTAGGCATACTTTGTGTGCTTTTTCCATTTAAAATATTACTAATGATATTAATTGTATAATTAATTTAAACATCTGGAATCTTTTATTTAAACACATGTATAAATGTATATTTCAAAAAATAAAATTAAAATAATTGACAATTTTTTTATCTTACGTCTTGGTAAACATACGGTATATCTATATTCTTATTCTTATATAGTAACATAATCCGCAGTACGTTGCAATTATACATAGAGGATATTAAATAACAAGTATTGACATACAAAGTAATTTTCGTAATGAAACAATAGGTGAAGAGGTCCCTGCTCAAAACACGTTTAATATCTAGGAGAATGTGCTTACAATTTAGAATGTGTATATATATATATATATATACACATCCCTTTGCAGGCATATATGATTGTTATTCTAATTAATTTCTTCTTCTGGATTACCTAGACAATATGTACTACTACAATGCCCCCTACTGGTAAAATATGGTGGTGGAGGTGCTATCATAAATTATCTCTCACTTTTCAATACAATGTACAGATAGGATTCCAGAGAAGATTACACTATCAAGTATCCCTTGACCTCCTCATTATCATCGGCCCCATGGATCACTTTCACGTGGAAGTGAATATTTGTATCTGTCTGCTTCTTACACTTTAAATAAACTAGCCATACTTGGTTTGACACATTGTATACTCATAGTTTATCAGATACTCATAGTACATGAATGAGAAGCAAGAAAAGTACCATCTTCATTCAGGTCACATGTAAAACAAAAGACGTGAATGCTATCAGTATCCACTAATGCCTTTTGTTCCAAACACGGAATAGAGACTTCTTATCCAGTTACATATTAGCTCTGCATATTTAACTCGATCAGTCGTCCGGCAAAGACAGCCAACGTCCCAATAAAACAGACGGTCATGAAGACTGCAAGGAGGATGTGATCTAGCACCATTGCAACAAACTTCCATTCTTCTGATGCCTGTGGAAATTGGACATACAAGAGATAAAACTAGTGCTGGAGATACATCATGTTCTATTATCAAGAATATATGTCACATGTAGGATTCCAAAATTACAACAAGATTTATGTTTACATGTGAAAATTTGGATTTAATAAAGATTCAAATTATATTTATTATGTCCTTCTGGTTAAGAGTAAATGTAACTTTGTAGGCCTACATTAATAACTGGGACAATAGGGTTTATAAACCAATGGCAAGAGTTCAAAAAACAATCTTAGATCTTGTAGATACTAGATCACAAAGTATGAAGTCCTAACACCTCCTGAAATGTATGGAGCTTCGAGGGACCTTCATCATTCTATTAGATAGAGAATACATACAACCTTTCAACAATGCAATCATTGTTACATCGGTGTTACATCTACATTAATGTTCAATAGGCATTGTTAAAGGGACAATATAGTCACCAAAACAACTTTAGCAGTTTTGTTGTATAGATCACGCCTATGAAGTCTCACTGCTCAATTCTCAGCCATTTAGCAGTTAAATCTCTTTTGTTTCTGTTTATACAGCCCTAGCCAAACCTCCCCATGGCTGTGACTGACACAGCCTGCATGAAAACAAAATAGTTAAATTTTCAGTCAAATGTAGCTTACTTTAAAAGTTTGTATCTCCTGCTCTGTAATTTGATCTTTAATTACATACAGGAGGTGACTTCAAGATCTAGCAAGCTATTAACAGAGCAGGAGATAATACATTCTAATTTAAACAGAATTTGCAGTAAAGGAAGTGTAAACATTAGATTACTTTTTACAGGGAGTGTTTAGGAAGGCAGTGTAAGTCACATGCAGGGAGGTGTGGCTAGAGCTGTATAAACAAAGTGATTTAACTCCTAAATGGAAGAGAACTGAGCAGACTGCAGGGGCATGGTCTATATGCCAAAACTGCGTCATTAAACTAATTGGTGACAATATTGTCCCTTTAATGTTAATCTGGCAAATAAGAAAATTAACAATTTTGCTATAGAGTTGCCCTAATATAATGCAGGCATTAAAAGCAACCAGATTCTAAAAGTGCTACCTTAAAAGGTTGGGATATAGATTTGGGTATTCTGTAAGAGTAACAAAATCGTGTACTGTCCGCATTATTTGTAATTTTATTTCACCTAACTCAAGTTGCTAAATTACTTTGTTGTAAAGAGGACTTTAAATTGTGTTTTATTTGCATCGCCATGGCACATAATGTTCCTGTAAAATTATATGACTATACCTTCATTATAGCAGCTTAAAGGTGTAAAATAAGTTAATTATAAATGTACCTTATTCGATTCCTCGTCTGACTTCATTGTCTCTGCAATGTATTTGATCCCTTCTATAGCACTCTTGACTTCTGGGTTCTTTAAAACTGGAGATTGGTAAACCACAGCAGCAGGTCCAAGTTTTCCCGAAATATCCGATATATCAATATCTTCTGAAAAGAGAGTCTTGCCTTGCTTTTCTTGAGAAGGTCGTTTCATTGTAGAAAAGAACATAAGGTTTGGAATAGTTTCAATAAAAATCTGAATTTAAAAAAAAAAAGGATTGAAATTAGAAAAAAAACGTGATACAATATATCTTAAGAACCATTTCAGAGTTGCTTCTTTAATCTAAGTTTAAGAGTTGACAACTGACTATGCCCAAAATACAAAAAGTTTAAAAAAATCCAAAAAAATCTTCAATATTAATATAAAATTAGCAATTTTGATGTTGACTTGTGAAAACTGATTAAATAGAGAATAAGGTACTGACATTCTTAATTTGAATTTAACAAAACTAAAGTTATGTACATATAAGACAATTGCATTAAAAAAAGTTTGTAAAATATAAGATTTGTTTTATACATATACAAATGTACTTCAGTATAATTGGAAGGCATTTTATTTTTTCGAAAGTCTTTAAGTTATTACTTACCTTTCTTACCCACTGGGGCATGGTGTGTGTACTTGGAGAGCGATGATGTGTATTTATGACAATTACTGTAATAATAATTGAGGCAATGACAAACACCATGGTAAACAACATGTATTTGCCGATTAAAGGTACCGCGCTTGAGGTTGACGGGATCAGTTCAACAATGACCAGAAGGAACACAGTCAATGACAGCAGTACTGATATACTAAGAGTCATTTTCTCCCCTAGAAGTCACAAGAAGAAACTATTCAGTATGTATGTCTAAACACATGCTGTTAATAGGATGTAAATCGTGCAATATTCTTTTTTTTTTTTTTTTTTTAATTCTTTATTTTATTTGTGCATGAAAAATCACATATAGCACACCAAGCCACAACAGCCAGGGCATGCAGAGTCAAACAAAGATTTGCATTAAGTAGACAAGGGAAAAAACTTTGCACTTTTTTGTATTAGATTATTATCGCTTGACACACATATTGTACATAAACAGGCTTACTAAGAACAGGTTGAACATAGATAATTTCTAACTGCGTTGCCTTAGATTACTAAAGATTAGTGGATCTCGAAGTATGCTTGAAAAACTTTGCACATTTTTGGATTATTATCGCTTGACACACATTTTATACAGAAACCGGCTTGCTACACAGATAATTGGGCTTCTCTATAAACATGCTTGATAATTATGAGTGATAAGAGTTGTGTATAGTTAGAGTCCTGCTTATGTATGGTAACCATAGCACCGTTGGTCTGGGTTGGCTACACGCCAGGTGGGCCCCGTCAGCGCAGGTAGAGGTGATAAATGGCGTGGGGGTTGCAGCTGGGTAAAGAGTGGTGGGTGCTCTCCGGGCTGTGTTTAGTCCCAGGGTCGGTTCATGCCAGGTAGGTCATGTGAGGCAGGGTCTTTGAGTCCCGGTGTGGGCTAGAATGGGGCCGGAGCAGGGTGTCGCCAGGTATCTTGGCTGCCTTGGCATGCTTTGCGTCGGCGCTTGTCGTGTGGTTGTCTCCCCTGCCCTGTCTGCATCAGGGTTGTGGCTGTGGGATGGTGCCACTGACCTTTCCAGCTACCGGTTCTCCGATGTCTGCCTCTGCCTCCTAGCAGCTTTCTCTTGTGTAGTTTAAGGCTGCGTTGCCGATAGGGGACTTCCCGGTTCTGCCCGCCGCCATTTTAAGTGAGCGGAGTGCTGCTGCTTCCTCCCGCCCGCTCCCGTCTGGCAGGGCTTGTTTGCAGGTGTTTGGGCTTGTAGGGGTGCCATGGTGGACCGTGATGACCCCCAGCGGTCCAAGGGGGGGGGGGAGAGATTCTGCGTCTGCAGGACTTCGGGACTGGAGGACCGGCCGCGTCCCCAGCCCCGCATCAACCGCTAGGCCGCAAGTCGGACCTGCCTTGGCTAGTGTCTCCTGGGAGCCTGTGATGCCTCTGTCCCGTTCCCACCAGTAGCTCTGTGGAGTGAGTGAGCGTGAGACCCATTTAGCTTGTCTGGGTCGGGGTAAGGGGGGCTTAAAGTCGGCTGTTTGGTGGGAGCTCTGGATGCTTGCGACTGCTCCGCATGGCGGTCAAGCTCCGCCCCCGCAATATTCTTTTTTAAGGGAAAAACTTTAAAAAAAAATTCCTTCTATTACAGAATTTCTCCTTCAAAACGTATTTGAAGTACAAGAGGAAATGTTTTTAAACAACCTCATGATTTTATTGTAACTCACATTGTAGAGCAGTATTTTATTGGCACAGTGCTTTGTTTTGCTGCATTTGCGCAGAAGCCTCCCAATGCTTCCCTATGGGAAAGCATTGGATTGGCTGAGGTCATCAATCTTGATGATCTCAGCCAGGGAAGCAGAGCGGCCGTGGCAAGACCAGTACGGCAAGGGTTGAAAGGCAAGTAATACTCAGCTTCCAAGCCCCTGGGGTGCCTAAATAGGTAGGGGAACACTATACCGTTTACATGTTTGTTACACTATAGTGTTCCTTTAAGTATACATTGTAATCAACCAGGGCCCAGTTATCCCATTCATTATTTTAAAACTATATATCATATAACTAAAACATTATTTTAAAATAAGCTAATATATTGACAGATTTACCTGAATCAGTGGGAAGATAAAACACCAATCCAGTCAGAAATGAGAAAAGCAGACATGGTATGATAACGTTGACGATGAAATAAAGTGGAAGACGTAGTAAGACGAAATGATACGTGATATCCAGATAAGGTTTGTCAGGGCAACAGGTATAGTAAACCCAGTGTTTCCAGCAGCGATAGTCCTTCATCAGCCATTCTCCGCTCTCCATAAAATTGCTCAGATCTGGACGGTCATTCTCCTATTTTTTTAAGCACACGTTTATTCAAAATTTGACAAAAAATATGCACAATTATAATTATTAATGTATAAATATATATGACCCTGTCTTCTGAAATTGTCATTATGTTGCTATTAATTATACATTTCATGATCAAAATGCTCTAAATTTTAGTTAAGCGACCATGAGGCATAAATGGGTTACTCCAAACACTATGACCACTTAAGTGATTTGAAGTGCTGATGGTTGTAAGAGCCTGGATGTGCAGTGGTTCATCTTGAAACACTACACATCCAGAGATATTGGCAATTATGTGCCAGGGGTAAGTTGCACCTTCAGCATATGGGGCTTAGGCAGTAAAGAACTCTGTAGTCTGTTCTGGGCTACCTAATGCCAATTCTGTGCATAAATTTCATCTGTTGTCACAGGCTCTCTGCACATCCACATTGCACTTCCTCTATGTGCATTGTGTTTTTTTTTTTTTTTAAAACCCTCCCTCTCCCCTTCTCTCTCCTCATCGGTCCAGAGCTCGTCCATATGTGCTTCTCTATGAGAAACCTGTGATAGGACCAAGGTACGGCCCCTGTAAGGTAGGAGGGGATGTGAAAAAGCACTGCATTCAAGGTAACTAAAACCTTTTTTTATAGGTTTGTTTGTCATGAACTTACCTGTAACTGGCGCCCGCGCCGCTCCCTCCTCAGGCAGCGCGGCTTGAATAGGATATATGCTCAACTTTATTCCCACAAACGGCTCCCTCTGCTAGTTCGTTGGCTCAACTACAGCCCTTTAAAATAAATTGTATTAGTATGTTATCCCACCCTTAAAGGAACTGCGTCATCAAGGCGACAATGTTTTTTGGTGTCACAAAGGTGTCGTGAACCAATGAGCACTTATGTGAACCTATTTAAGACTTTTTTTTAGCAGATAAGTGGTGCCATAGATAGCTAAATATGGTTGCCCCCATAGGGAAAGAATACACCAGGAAAGGCATTAAAAAAACATTACCATTAATGTATTCGGTAGAAATAATACACATCTACACTGTATTAATCTTTTATAATAAAAATATCAAATTCCCTCTAAAGAATGGCATTCATTGAACACATGAGACGGTATCCTGGGAAAACCATATTAGAGATAAGAGTTAATAGGTTTGAACATCCAGTAGAATTTTTTTTAAATTTTGGAATAACCCATGAGGATTCCAGCTATTAGGCTCTTCTTATGGCACAATGTGGACTTCTTGTTAGATTAATATATATATATATATATATTTTTTTTTTTTTATTTGCTAATCTCTGTATTGCAGTGAATCGAAAACCTAATTGCAAAATTTAGGCAAAAAGTGCGTTAAGAATATCATAACTTTTTGCACATTGAAGTGAAGAATTTTGCACATTGAAGAAATAATTTTACTATTTATTCGTCCCATACTTCAAAGATTGAATGTCTAAAAAGATGGAGCTGCTTTTAGACATTTTTGTTAAGGTCAGTTAGGTCTAATGCCAGCCCATATTAGACTACAGAAGCCATAATTCTCTGGCAGCTTGGGAATTATAATATAACATTGTATATAGGAATCTTATGAATTTAAAATTGATTTAGAAAAATAGGCATGTTGGAAGAATGAAATGGATATGTTTTTTAATTAGACTTTTGGATTAGTTTTTTGCAACATGGATGCCAACACACCTCATCTGCATAGACTCATGTGTGGATTAGATAATAACCATGATAATATGGATAAGAAGGTAACCATGATATTGTGGCAAAGGTAACCACAGAATAGCCTCAAACTATTGTAGAAATACATACGCCTTAACACATAAAGATCTTCCTGGTGGATTCCAGGATAGTAATTACAACGGATGACTCCTTACCGGGTTTATAACCACTAATGTGCCATCGTAAGTCCAAGTGCCGAACTTCATGCTGCAGTTTTGCTGGTCAAATGGGAAATATGTGACTATAATTTCACAGTAGCTTTTGAAAATGGCAGGGGGAGACCATATAATCTTTCCTGTATAATCCAGAAGTACTTTAGTCTCCGGTTCAATCGCAAAATCACCATCTGCACTGTAATGAAAAAACAAAAATGCTACAGGTAAGAAGCAAATTTTAATAAAAATGTTGCAGTTATAGCCATTTGTATATACAGGCTCCAGTACCCGACTTTGACGCAACATTTGTTTAGTAACGTACATATAATACGGAAAAACTTTTTGGTTTGATGGACAGAGTGACAGACAAATTCTATAGACAGATGGACGGATGGACAGACAGATAGTCAGATAAACAAAGCTATCCCCAGTAGATGCAAAGAGATAGGACAACACTGAAAGGTCTTGATTTTTTGAGAGAGGATGGAAATATAAGACATGACATTTCACTCAGAAATGACCTCCTTTAAAATGTTGTTGGCTGGTAAGGGGAACGCAATGTAGTTAAATGTATAATCTAAACATATTTAGCACACCTAAACATATTTAGCTTAAAGGGACACTGTAGGCACTGTATTTGCTTCATCTAATTAAACTGGTTATAGTGTCTGGGGTCCCCTTGTACCATCATTTCTTTCAGCATTAAACAGTTTTTAATGTTGTAATGTTTTAATGCTAAACAAGAGTCCACGGCAGTCTATCCCCTCTGTGCTGCTTTGGCTAATAAGGAAGTATTACCCTGAGAGGCAATGGGCAGCTGTGATTGGCTTAGTGTGTCAGCTGACTGCTTTTAACCTGTCAGAGCTCCAACTGACGCTATGAATGGGTATGACAACAAGGACGTGTGTAATCTCTGCCTTAGCTACACATACAGAAGGGGCCGGACTGTGGGTGGCCAGGGACTCTTCTTTTGTGGCATACTGCACAAACATGGTGCAACACTGAATGGAGGGACAGTGCCAGGCCACTCCAGGCACTATAACCAATTCAAAGAGACAAAGTGGTTATAGTGACTACAGTGTCCCTTTAATAAGGCAGTTTTTGGTGTATAGATCAAGTCTATGCAGTCTCACTACTCAATTCTCACCATTTTGGAGTTAAATCACTTTCTTTATGCAGCCCTGGCCAAACCTCCCCCATGTAGCCTCCTTAAAAAATTATTTAATTTTCAATTAGATCTAACAGCAAGGTGTGTTTAGTTTAGAGGTCATTTTCACTTGCTTTTTAAATTGAACTTTCATCACACATTTCAACAGGCAATTAAAAGAGCAGGATACATTTTCTTCTAAATTAAACATACTGTGAAATAAAGGAAATAGATCTAATTTTCAGGAAGTGTTTAGAGAGGCTGTATGAGACACAACAAGGGGAAGTGTGACTAAAACTCTTAAATGTAAGAGAATCAATTAGAGAGACTGTAGTGGAATGATCGATAACTCAAAGACACTTAATTAAAGGATTACGCCAAGCACCATGACCTCTTCAGCGATTTGAAGTTATCATGGTGAGCGGAGCCTGTATGTGCAGCGTTTTGATTTGAATGGCAATGTCAGTTATTGGCTGAAATTGATCAGCTGAGAGTTATCCTTTAAGCTAAAGTTGTTTTGGTGTTTAGAGTGTCCCTTAATGTCATTATGCCATGTGATTACAGATAAAACATCCATCTCAAATATTCTTTTTTTAGGTTGTGGTTTTTTTTTGTTTTTTTTTATAGAGCCCATCACATCATCTGTAACTTAAGTCCCAAGGAAACCAATTGCATCACAGTCTAAAATTGCAGACATCAAAGGGATGCTACAGGCTGAAGATGAACCAGTTTTAATACATTTTATAGATAACGTTCAAAATATGCCAGAAAAAAATACATATCAAAAAAAGATACCGGCCTTTGTTTAATCAATTGTTTACACAATGTTTGGACTTTGGAAGCAATTCTAGCCATTCCATTATATTTAAAGAGCGTACTTAACACATCCAGTTAATAATAACTGATCAGCACTTGGTATATTCAGCAGAGAATATCAATGGAACGGCTATCCAAGATGATGACCTTGTTGATACTCATTACTGAAAGAGGCTATGGATATAACTATTCTTATGTATGGCTCTTTTATCAGCCATTTTAAAGAATCAAAGACAGTTGTAAAGGAACCATTATAAAAGGTGGGTGAAAACTAAATTTGTCATATATATAGTTAACGTAGAATGCAACTAGGTCATCTCTAGCCTGGAGCATCCCTTTAAAGTCTGTAATTTTAGACTCTGATGTAATTGCTTTCCTTGGGACTTAAGTTACACATAAGCTCTACAAAAAAAAAAAAAAACCTATAAAAGAATACCGTATTTACTCAAATCTAACGCACTATCAAATCTAATGCTCACCTCAATTTTTGAAACCTGGAAGCTGAAAAATGTTTTTGCTGGCGAATGTAATGCGCATTTATGCAAGAAGATACTACTATACAACATTGTGCAACAATAAAAATGTTTATTGCCATATAACATAGTAATATTGATGGTATTTAAATTTTAGTCACATGTTAAGTCTATTCTTTCTTAAAGGATCACTATAGGGTCAGGAACACAAACATGTATTCCTGACCCTATAGTGCTAAATCCACCATTTAGGTAGCTTGCCACCCACTTAGCTCCCTTAAAAGCAATTAAAACTCACCTTATTTCCAGCGCCGTGCAGGTCCGCCAGCACTGGCCCCCCCACCTTGGTGACATCATCAGAATTGCCAATTTTTAGCCAATCCAATGCTTTCCCATGGGGATTGGCTTAAATCGGCAAGGGGACGGGGCCAAACAACGATTTGGCCAATCAGCGTCTTCTCATTGAGATGCATTGAATACTTGCATCTCTATGAGGAAAATTCAGAGTACCCATGCAGAGCGTGGAGACGCTGAACGGCACTGCTGCCTACTGAGTGGCCACTTGGAGGTGTCCCTAGGGGCAATGTAAATATTCCTTTTCTCTGAAAAGGCAGTGTTTGCATTAAATTGCCTGAAGGTAATGATTATACTCACCAGAAGAACTACATTAAGCTATAGTTGTTCTGGTGACTATAGTGTCCCTTTAAGTCCTCTTTCAGGAATGAAATTTGCCTGTGTGATTTCGCCAGAATGAAATTCACATGTGTGAATTTGCCTGTGTGAATTTGTCGGAATGGAATTTGCCTGTGTAAACTCGCCTGTATAAATTTGCCAGAAAATTTTGAATTTTGACCTGAATGTAATGTGCCATCGAATCTAATGTGCATTCAACTTCTGGAAACGTTTTTTTTTCCCTAAAAAGGTGCGCATTAGATTTGAGTAAATACTGTGTTTGAGATGCAGTAGATTGCCTATGTGTAATCATGTGGCATAATGACATTAAGGAACCTCTTACCACTATAACAACTCTAGTTTAAAGGGTCCCAAATACAAACCTACAACTACTATTAACTCCTATATAACTAGAAACAAAAGAGAGCTGGAAACACGTATATGAGCACAGTGATTTAAAGACTGATGGATACAAAGACCGTAAACTATCAGCTATTGATGTCAATACATGTTAATATATAAGTAACACTTGAAGTCTGCACATGAATAACAAACAACATGAGGACATCTCTAGCAAGGCATTGTCACTCCAAATGGTCTAATTTAATTAATTGAATTTAAAAAAAAACAAGAAAAAGTGATTATATCTGGCATTCCTAATAGAAAACGTACTTTAAAGAAAAATGAAAAAACAAGGATAAAAAAAAACATACTTGTTGTAAAGAACTAAATCTGGCCGCCAAATGTCACTAGATGGGATGCGAATCTTCTCTACCCCTCCGTAGTCTGATGGGTTCCATTTTAGATTGACATCCACCCATTGCTGAACAATACAACAACAAGAGCACACATGGTTAGATAATAAAAAGCTTACTTCTTAACAGACAAACCATATTTACCCTTTATACACAAGGGCAAGATTACTAGAAATATTACTTAGCAAAATGAATCGTATCATTCTTGTCAGTCGTTGAAATATGGTTGCTCTGTCCATTGTGCTCTGATTGATAATGGGCTACAATTTGCATTATCATTATAGATGCTAATTGCATAAAGATAAAATGGGGACATTGATCAAAGTATCGTTTTCTAAAACGTGGTGGAAAGATGTTAAAGGTGAGGAGTCCCCAATGGAATGTATCTCCTGGTTCTAGTGGTTTCCATGGTGATTGTCCCACTTTTACTATGTTTTGCCAATTTTTACAACATGACACTTTGATAGATCTCCCCAACAAACTTAAAACAGTAGTTCTTAAATGTTCAGTCTGGACAGGACACCCACTTTAACAAAGGTTTGGAAGCCTGCAAATATTTTACAACAATAATCAGAAAAAAATAGTTTAAAAAAACAGTAATCTAAACTGTGTATATAATATATAATATATAACATTGAAACTGTTATCACAATGCAAATTCTCTAAGAGCACATACTAATACCGTGACAGTGGTTTTATCCTGAGGTTTATCTATAGCAGGGATAGCCATGAAGCAGGACCTCAGTGCTCACAGAACTCCAAATTGCAACAAGCCTTTTAAGACAAAGTACCATGAGAACATCAGACCTGGAACTACTGACAATCATTGTTTTCTCAATTTAGTTGGGACTAAAGCCGACATCTAAACACACAACTGTGATAAATTGGCTCATAAGTCTAAACTTTTTTAATTCACTGTCAAGTCAGGACAATTAGAATTTGAATTAACCTCCCCCATTTTATTTATTTTATTTTTTTGGCAAATTTTGAAGATAATAAAAAAACAAAAAAAATATCAAAAGTCTCCCAAACCTGTTTCAGCCGGACGTTTGTTGACACAATTTGATTTACTTCGTCCTTAAAATAAAACAAGAAAAAACAGCTCAGAACCAGATAATATGTTGGAATTTGTGCATCAGGAGGAATGTATTAACCATTTGACTAAAAATGTTTAAAAAATAAACGTGTGGAAAAAAAAAGCCATCACACAGATTATACCCCAATGTACTGAAATAATAGACAGAAGCTGCAAGAATTAAAAAAATAAAAAATTAAAAATTAAAAGAAAAAAAAATATCCAGCTTCCTGTAAAAAAACTGAAAATCTATTTGAGGAGTTATACAATTTACTAAAAATTCATTATTCGAACTAATGGACACTCTATTGCAGAAGTGCTCAACCTTTATCCCATGAGCCACTTGGACATACCTCTTTTATGAATGAGAAGCTACTGATTGACTTAGAGTATCACCTGCCCACTCTAGTCAATCAGTGGCTCCCCTGCCCAGGGGCACTATGTACTTCCTGAAACTTAATTTCAAAAGCCGGATGCTGCTGGGGGGACTGTAAATCTGTTGCTGGAGGCAATTTTTAGGGTTAAATAGTTTGAGAATGGTTTCAGGTAAGAGATCGCCCGGGTGTCACCCTGACACCATAACAACTTAATTTCAATGAAATTGTTATGGTGTCTGGAATGTTCCTTCAGATCAGTTTAGAGCAGTATAACATTGAATGAGAGTGCACAGCTAGCTCCCATTGGAGGTATGGTTGCACTCTTCCTTATCCATACCAGTTCATTCCAGCAAAGGCTGGCTGTGATAGGCCGAGAAGAAGAACTATCCAGGACAGCACAGGGGATAGGCTGCTTGGGACTCTCAATCAGCATTAAAAACAATCACAATGGTTTAATACTGACTAGAAGGATGGCGCCAGGGGACTCCAGTCACCATAACCAGTTAGAGTCTTCCATTTATATACAAGTGCTAGATGCAAAATAACATTGTAATTATTTGTTCATATCTCATTTATTTGCCATTTCATTAGCACATGCCTCTCAAAGTGTTGAGTTGAATTTTATTAAACATACCACATTGATGAGTTGTATAAGCTGGAGTCCAACTGTTACCACAACCTTATCAGTGAAAGTCTCAACAGGACGGACCACTTTGTTATAAGTCTTGAATAAGTTCTCAACAAGTCGGGCTTCGTCTTCAGAAGCAATAACTGTTTCTGCTAAAAAAAATAAAAAACATCTACTTTAGAATAAATGTTTCAGAGGGGTTAATATAACATAATAATAATGTATACAGAACCAGCACAAACATGCTCTGCTTTAACATTAAATTATTATTATTTTTATATATAAAGCGCCAACAAGTTCCGTAGCGCTGTTCAATGGGTGAACTAACAGACACGTATTTGTAACCAGACACGTTTTGATGCACAGGAACAGAGGGATTGAGGCCCCTGCTCAATGAGCTTACATGCTAGAGTGAGTGGGGTATAGTGACACAAAAGGTAAGGGTAGGGTTAGAAAAGTAGGTTGCTAGGATAGCGTTCATTGAGGGCTTAGTGTTTTGTTTTGATGACAGTTGTGGGAGCGGAATCAGGGTGCGGGGAGGCAAAGCTGTCCACAGTTTAATTGATACGCTTTTCTAAGGAAGTAAGTTTTCAAAGATTTTTTGAAAGAGTGGAGATTGGGGGAGAGTCTAACAGAGACGGGAAGGGCGTACAGGGAACGCACAGGGAATAAGATGTAATCCACTGAGAGTTGAAGAAAGATTCAATTTACAGCAGGGAAAATGGTTGTTTATAGTAAATAGAAGGAGGATGAGCAATTTGTTTGCCTTAAAAAGTTAGATTTCCCAATGGAAAACATTGGGAGACTATTGCGCATGTGCCGCAAAATGGAGTACCAAGCAGCATATCCTTATAGAAATGCAGTGAATCAATGTATCTCTATGGGGAATGTTCAGCACTGACACAGGAAGCACCTCTAGTGGGTATCTGAGTGACTGGCACTAGAGGTGTGCCTAAGCAGTAATGTAAAGACCTTGGACAGGCTTTAGACACCAGAACCACTACATTAAGCCCCCTGTGGGTCACCAGGGATCAAAAGCCCCCTTCCTTGAAGAAAACCAATCCGAAATTAACAAAAAAACAAATAAGCAAAGATAAAGCAATGGACAGAGGCAGGGGGGGCTGCACAGTGGGAGTGAGAAGAAAATGACGACGTAAAATATGCACATATTTGATACATGCCTAAGTCACATGTGCCGGTTTTGTAACTTTGTTGTGCCTGACGTATGAAATATATGCTCAACAGAATTAATTCTAATATAAAATACATAAATAAACACTATTATAAAATACTAAAACACATTTACAGTTTCTTTTTAATTAGGTGGCATTAAAATAAAATATATCATTAGAAGCAGAGAAAAACAACTAGCAAGAGAGGTGAGAAGCAGGCTTCAATAATTAAATTCAAAATTATTTTTCTTCTGCAGGTGCGATGAATTAATTAATTGATATCTATCGAGGAGAGCATATTTAAACCATAAAGAAACAGTGCAATTTATGTCTATAGGCAGTTTGCATGTGAGTCTGTATGGATACATCTGCAAATGTCAACCAAAGTGTTATTTACTACAGAGTTTATTTACCTAATTGTGGGGAAAGGAAAAACAAAATTAATGAACTAGCCAAACTGGAAAAATTCTCAAAGTTAACTATTATTCAAATTTGACTAATTCGGTAAATTTGGTGATTTCAAATTTCACTCCTTACAATTCTAGTATAAGTAAAATTATCCTTAAATGAGTCATAGCGAATTAATGACTAACGTTCACATATAGAAGGCTTGTAGATTCACAAAAAATATTTTTTAATGACATTATTAAAAATATGTAATAGGTAGCTCTTTGCAAATTGAGAACACACTAAATAAACTAAAAGAAAAAAGGCATCTCATCAGTGGTTTAATTTTCCTTTAGAGTGAATTATCCATTGCAAAGCTTAACAAAAACAGATTTTTTAATAAATCTAGTACTTTTATCTTTCTTCCCATTAATTCTAGAAATGGAAAGTGCATGGTATCTACATAATCATTGTGATCAGTATACAAATAGAGAAATAAACATAACTGTAACGTTGATAATAAAAGAGATACAAGATAGGTATTAAACAATAGTACGCAAATTATAAAATATACCTGATAGACACAGGAAAATAATATGCCAAATTGTGAAGTCCATTTCCTTCCGCTCCTCTTGACTCTGTTCTTCTCTGGTTTCTTTATTGGAATGGTGACATTTCGAATGGTTGAGGAGCTCCTTGTGTCGCCCAGTTTACAGCTTCCGGTTTCATGGAGAAGAATGCGACTAGGCATCTATTAATATACCCCACCTGTTCTGCATGACAGCTGAATGTCTGGAACTCGAAGCTGATGTGCGGCAAGGATTTCTTGTAACTCTTTTGATTAAAGTTGCCTGACTTTTAAACCCTCACCCATGGTACCAAAATTTGTAAAACTGTCACATTTGAGATTTATACACAACCCAAGAGATACGTAAACACTAGATAAGGTTGTGTTATGTTTTTTGTGTTATGTTTTTGTTTTTTTAATTAACAAACTATTTTAATTTTGTTTTGTTTACTTTGTATGGCTATTTTGTCCTGACACAGCCAGAGTGTACAATGCAAATTAATTTCACCCCCACTTTGCTGTACATGTGTGTGGAGGGCACATGTGTGAGTATTGCACTATGAAAAGAAAACCCAAACACACAATTGCTTATACAACATTTTGCCACATGCGCTCCTTCCTGCCAGCTACCTGTACCCGGCCGGAATGAAAGGAAGTGCTCTCTCAGTCAGCACGTCCTGTCAGTCTGGCCGGGTACAGGAGACAGAAGGTCCTGTACCACGTTCCACGCTGCTCGGCCACGCTACACATAGGTAGGAGGCACAACAGGGAAGGGGTGGGAGATGGCACTAAGGGACACTGGGGGGAGGGAGAGGAGGAGAGACCACTAAGGGACACTGGGGAGAGAACCACTAAGGGACACTGGGGGGGGAGACAGACCACACACTGGGGGGAGGAGAGACCACTAAGGGACACTGGGAGGAGTGAGGGAAGAGAGACCACTAAAATGGGGGGAGGAAGAGACCACTAAGGAAAGATGGGAGGGAGAGACCACTTAGGGACACTGGGGGAGGAGAGACCACTAAAAGGACACTGGTGGGAGGAGACCACTAAGGCACAATGGGAGGGGGAGGAGAGACCACTAGATGGGGGGGAGGAGAGAACACTAAGGGGAAGATGGGGGAGGGGGTAGAACTCTAAGGGACAGGGAGGAGGGAGAGCACTATGGGATGGGGGCAGGGTAGAGCACTAAGGGACAGGAAAGGAGATCACTAAGTAACAGGAGGGCAGTGGAGAGCACTAAGGGACAGGGGAGCAGGGAAAAGCACATTGGAGAGCACTAAGGGACAGGAGGGGATGGGAGAGCACTAAGGGACATGAGGTGAGGGGAGAGCACTAAGGGACAGGATGGGATGGGAGAGCACTAAGGGACAAGAGGGGATGGGAGAGCACTAAGGGACAGGATGTGAGCGGAGAGCACTAAGGGACAGGATGGGATGGGAGAGCACTAAGGGACAGGAGGGGAGGGGAGAGCACTAAGGGACAGGAGGGAATGGGAGAACACTAAGGGACAGGAGGGGAGGGGAGAGCACTAAGGGACAGGAGGGGAGGAGAAAGCACTAAGGGACAGGAAGGAAGGGAACAACATTAAGGGACAGGAGGGGAGGGGAGGGTTCTAAGGGACAGGATGGGAGACCTCTAAGGGACGGGGGAGAAGTGGGGTTAAGACCACTAAGAGACGGGGGAAGTGGAAGAGATCATTAAGGGACGGGGGGAGTGTAAGACACACAGAAAGACTGAGAAAGGGGTGAAAGAGAAGCACAGAAGGGCTGGTAGGAGACACACAGAGGGGCTCAGGAGAGAGACACACAGAGTCGCTTGTGAGGGAGACACACAGAGTGGCCTGAGGGGAAAAGAGACACACCAAGGAGCTGGGAAGAGTAAGATACAAAGGGTCTTGAGGGACACGCAAAGACATGCAAAGGGTTTGGGAGGATGTAGGAGACATACAAAGAGGGGGGATAAGAGACACACAGATAAACTAAAGGGGGGTGTAAGACACTTAAAGAAAAAATCTACAAAAAAAATGATATTAACAAAATAAATATAATAATAAAAATAAAGAGCTGCTCCCCTCTCAGCCCCTATCCTACCCACATACCCTTTCTTTCGCACTACACACACAATGCATCCTTACACATACACAGAAACACACATGCACAGAATGCATCCCTTCTCACACACACACACTGAAACATACAATGCATCTTACACTCACACAGAAACACACAATTCTTCCCTTACACACACAGAAACACACTATGCATCTATTACACACACACAATGCATCCCTTACACACACACAATGCATACCTCACAAACACACACACAGTGCAGCCCTTGCATACATACACAGAAGCACACAATGCATCCCTTACACACACACACACACACACACACTGCTTCTCTTAATGCATCTCTTACACACACTCAATGCACCCCTTACAAGCACACACACTGCATTACATTACATACACAGAAACACACCTTGCATCCCTTAGACATACAAACACAGATTTACACAATGCATCCCCCCCCCCACACAAACAGATAATGCATTCTTTACACACAAACACACACCGCATCCTCTATACACCCCCACTACATCCCTTACACAAACTAGTATCCCTATACATTACATTCCATAAGAACACACACACATTACATCCTCTACAATAACACCTAACACATCCCCTACACACATACACTCCACTCCCTGTAAGAAAACTCATGGGTGGGCCTTGTAGGCATCAGGCTTATAGGCAGGCCTTTAGGCATACTCACCGTCAAGCCCTGGAGGCCCAGACCGTCATCTCTGTAAGGGGCCCAAAAAATTGAGCTGCTTCCTGTTTGTTGTTTTTGTGAGCACTGCTTCCAGAGAGCCTGTTTTAACACCAGACCACTGGAGCCAGACGGCAGCCTGAGCCCATCATCATCCTCTTGTCCTCATCTTGTGGTAAGTAGGTAATCCAGTATATTATTAGTGGCACTAATCCCTAATTTACCTGACATTAAAGGGCCACTATAGTCCCCAGAACCATCTACAGCTGGATGTAGTGGTTCTGGTGCCTATAGCCTGTCTCTGCAGGCTTTTAAATGTAAACTTTTTCAGAGAAAAGGCACTGTGTGCAGCACTGGTGTTGGCTCATATGGCAGATCATATGAATGGGGCATTGTGATGGGGTGGGCGGGGATGCGCAAATCTTTGTTTGCCTAGGGTGGCAAAAATCCTTGCCCCGACCCTGACCAGGTGATGCTGCCCATTTGAAGATGTCCTTCTTTCTCCACAACACTTGCAGCCTTTAGCTCGTAAAGAAATTGGCAGCATCCGCTCTTTGCTGCTCTTATCCCCTCTCAGGCTACACATTTTTTCCCCTCACTCAGTTGGCCCCAGAGTACAGCGACCAGGTAAATTAGTCACACGAACATTGGGCATGTTTACGGACAGTGACCAGCAGGAGAGGGGTTATCTGTGTTCCCACCTCCCGTCTGTCACCCGGACATCTCTGCGCCCTTTGACCAGAGCGCACTATGGTGGCCACCTGTGCCGCCTAATGTAAGCGTTGGCCCTGCATGGGCGCATGAATGTGTTGTAGCTATCATGGGGTGAGAGAGTCACCCTGAACACGGAAGTGCGGTGGAGGTATGTGGCATGTGTGTTTTATCCCACTACTATTACTCACCCAGCACCTCAGTAGTGTTTACTGGGGTGAGGAAATGAGGATCCAGCGAGGAACTAATCCTCAAGTAACAGAAGAGTGATATTCATGTGCACACACGCTCACATTCATTTCAACATTCTCAAATTCATATACATACACACATGCATATTCACCTACATACACTCACATTGATTTAAACACACGTTCATATTCACACACACTCACATTATATACACACAGACACACACATATGCACACACATACTTACTTATATAAACACACACATACTCACATTCACACACACATTTGATTTTTAAATTGGATTGCTGCTTTAATCAGTTTGTGCACCGATTGAAAAGTTTCACATTTCCATCAGCGAGGTTGCTGACATGTAAATCCTCCCCAGGTCCGCTTCTGATCCAAGCTTCTGGTTTTCATTATTAGCATCGTGTGTGAACCTCCAAGACGTATTACTTTTTTCTCTGCACTGCCGTGTTTGTACTGATCACCTCTAATAACTCTGGATGGTACTCTACCTCTTGTTTAAGAGACCCTTTTTGTTTTAGAAGAACTCTTTCCCTGTCACCTCTAATATACCATTTATCTCGGTTACATTATTATCTGCCCCTCTATCACTTGCTTCCTCTGCGTCTTAATTAATAATCAACATATAATAAGCACAATCTCATGTCACTTTGTTTTTCTTTTCTATAAAAAATAGAAATCTTTATCTCCAATTAAAGGGGCAAAATTGTCACCACAAATCATATACATCACTTTACAATGCCTCTCACATACCTGATGCCTCTTAGCTTGGTACCTTCCCTTGAATCTTGGATGATGCACCTCCCAACGGGCATATAGAATATATTTCTTTAACTCCTTAGAATATTAAAAAGTTGGATCTTCCCAAATCAAATCAGAATATTACCTTTGGATGATAATCATTCAACAAACCTCAACAACAAAATGTTGTTATGACTTGTGGACTTCCCATTGAAATTGTGCCTATGTCTTGCCTCCTCAGTTGTGATACCTGCTTTTACATGTACCTTTTGGTTCACAGTGAAATTGTTTATTATTAATTACCCACTATGTATGTAGTGCATTCTGATAAGCTTTACCCATTATAAATGCCCCAAATAATCATCAGTATTATTTATTTGTAAAAAGTGGCAAAATGTTCTGTGGCCTTTTACAATATAACAGGTTTGCAGACATATGGAACCATTTTATGAATTAATTTATGAATTAACATACAACTTAAACAATGCAGCAAAAGCAGTGTATAATTTGTATTTTCCGATAGCAGGTAGGAATATGTGTATACAGGAGTTTGGGCAAAGGCCACAAACAGATTACCTGGTTTTAAGGCATGGGGATGGATGACCTATATCATTTCCATTTGACGATATGCAAATCTGAATAAAAGAGCAGTGGTTGATGGATGGATAAAATTGAAATTTGCTTTAGACTTCCCCAAAACGTTGTAAAGACTATATAAGACTAGAAACACAAAATAGCACCATCCTGAAATATATATGGTTTATCACTTTTTTTTCTCTTCGAATTTAATGTTTATTTCGTTTTGTCATTTGTAAATTACATTTTGATAAGTATTCAAGATACAATCAGATACCTTGATATTTTGTAATCAGGAAATATCATGGAACATTCATATATACACAAATATTATTGTTCACCAAAGAGAATTCAGGTTTATTCAATTACATACTTTTTATTGAGACATTTAACAAATCCCCATGAATCCTTAACAGCATGACTTTCGGATTATTAATTTATACATTTTTCTTGTGGTTTAAATGCTAAGGCAATATTTATTACTGTAAAGTTGTTGGGAATAGAGTTACCCTAACACGCAAACCTAAAGGTAACAGTAAAGGTACACGTACCGGTCCTTAGAGTGGCCGGGTTAGTGCCTGAGACAGATAAATGAAATGACTGCAAGCAGACAGAGAATAACGAGCAGCAAGCAGAGGTCAGGATTACAGAAATACACGGAATTGATAGCCAGGCCAAGATCAGGATAACAGAGAGCAAGAATAGTCAAACAAGCCAAGGTTAGAGAACAGGAAATCCAATACACAGTATAAAACACTATCAGGTAACATGAACCACGACAAGGCAAGGAAACAAGGACAACCAGGAAGTATATATACCCTATACTGGGTAGTAATTGGTCACAGAGGACCATGATGTCACAAGTGTGTATACATCATCAAATAGTGACACATGGGCACAGAACTCATAAAATACATTCTGAACTTCTTGAGTGGCATCAACACAAGAAAGATGGATAAATAGACAGACAGAAAGACAGATAGATAGATAGATAGAATGATAGATAGATAGAATGCTAAATAGATAGATAGATAGAATGATAGATAGATAGATAGATAGATAGACAGATAGAATGCTAAATAGATAGATAGATAGATAGATAGAATGATAAATAGATAGAATGATAAATAGATAGATAGATAGATAGATAGAATGATAGATAAATAGATAGATAGACAGAATGATAAATAGATAGATAGATAGAATGATAGATAGATAGATAAATAGATAGAATGATAGATATATATACTGATTGATAGATAGATAAATAGATAGATAGATATATAGATATACTGATTGCTAGATAGATAGATAGATAGATAGATAGATAGATAGAATGATATATAGATAGATATACTGATTGCTAGATAGATAGATAGATAGATAGATGGATGGATGGATAGATAAATAGATAGGGTTAAATAGATCAATATTCAGAGTTACAACATAACAAGAACAATATACTAGTAACCAAATAACACAACCTGGTGATATAATAGGATCAAGTACCCCCTTCCATTCCTTAATTTGGGGATTTTCCTGTTGTGCCTAAAGTGTTTTTTTTCTTTTTTCTAAAAACACCTTAGACACAACTTGGTAATCCCTAAATCTTGGACTGTTAGGGGGTACATGAGGACTGGGTTGGGAACCACTGTAACATGACATAACACGTGCACACAGAGTATAAATAATAAACCTTTAGAAAAAATACTTTCTACTGCCCTCAGAATCCAGCTTCTTAACACTTTGGCACTCTGATAGCAATTATTGATGGTAACTGTGATTAATGAGAATTAATGTCTTATTTTAACCTTGCCTATGTAACTCAATGAGACGACCAGCAAACACAGCTGCTGTTCCAATTATACAAACTATCATGAATACCAAAAGCAGGATGTGATCCAGAACCATGGCAGTAAACCTCCATTCTTCTGAAGCCTAAAATCAAACATAAGAGAGATTAATTTATATTTCTATAACATATGGTACATTGAAATACTGAACAAGTGGTCATTTGTTAGGATCTATAGAACTGCTGCTTTCTTGGACATAAATAGGCCTGTTATCCAAAGTACTGGAACTGTACGTAATACAGTTAATATGTTGAAAAATTGTTTGTTCATTCTTATTTTATAAATCCCATTACTTGTTCCTAAAACAAGGAATTTTTGTTAGAAATGACACAATATTTGAAAAGTGTCTTGCGTTAATGGGACACTAAACCGTCTAAATACAAAAAAGAAACAGAAATCTGTTTAGTAGATCTACCCCAAATGAAAACATGCATGTATTTAATTATACATTTATTCATTGACGGTACATCTAAAACCATGATTTAAAAAACTGCAGTTCTCTTGTCTGCAGACTCTTCAAGCCATACCCTTCTAACCCCGCCCTGACTGTCATGGCTGTCCAATCACAGACTTCCCAATCAGCTCATTGAGAAGTCTTTGCAAGGCAGATGCTCTGAGCAATTGCTGCCTTTTGTGTTTAGTTCCACTGAGCTAACCAGGAAGTAACATTACCTGTTGTCTGATTAAAAGCCGGGGGTGTAACCAGGTTTATTTATAAAAGTGTCAATTTCTATTAAATCTGCACTTTTTTATAAAATAAAAAAGAGGACACACTCTTCACACATAAAGTATCCTAACAAGTTAAAGTGCTTTAGGGGTCCAACACAATTTACTTAATGTGCCAAAAAATTGTTGTGGATAGATTTGCACAGTTACAAACTTTTCTCACAACTCCCTGTTTGTTAATAAATTACTACTGCTAATCAAAGGAGTCAATATTTATTGTTTAGTTTTTTAAAGCTTATCAATGCACACCCTTGCTTTCTTTATTTTTAAAGAAATTGAGCAAAAATTAGTTTGAGATTTGGCCAACTTTGTGACACCTATTTATCCTAGAGGTTTGTATTTGTACCTTATTGGATTCCTTGTCTGCATTCATGGTCTCTGCTATGTACTTTACTCCATCGATTGCATTCTTCACATCTGGGCTCTTTAATACTGGAGATTGGTGAGCCACTTCTGCGGGTCCGAGCTTTCCTGAAATATCTGATATATCCATATCTTCAGTAAAAATGTTCTTCCTTTGTTTTTGTTCTGAAGGCCGTTTCATTGTAGAAAAGAACATGATGTTTGGGATGGTCTCAATAAAAACCTATATCAAAAGAGTGAGTTAATAAACATAGGTTTATTTTTATAATCTGTGTTTTAATTCAGAATCCTGTGTATATTAATTTAGAAAAATTGGCACAATTTCAGTTTCAACTGGTTAAAACCATTACACCAAAGCCGTATGTTTCCCAGCCCTCTGTGCGAAACTTGTGACTATACTTATCATTTGCATTTGAATGTAAAAGAAGAAATATATATATTTTTGTATTTCTTGTACATTTGTAATGCTTTATATAGATAATGCATTAAAAACATGCATGAAATTAATAAATAACCATTTCTTAGGTGAGTCGTTACCAGACTACGAATTGGTTAAAACATATCAGCCAACCCTAGTCCTTTCATTACTTCCAAAGGTAATGATAGCCATATCAGAGACACTGTATATGTAGTTTAGCACTTGAAGCAATTTTGATAATTAAAATGCATTAACAAAACTGCTAGGGTGACTGAAGTGTCCGTCCATCATGTCTTGTGAGTCACTCTCCTTCTCCATGCCCCCACTCGTGTGTGCCTCTTTTTATGGCACCTTTGTGTGTGCCCCTATCTATGCCCCTTGTAAATCTTTCTCTCCATATCCCTTTGTATGATAGCCTTCATGTCCTCATTGTGAGTGCCCATCTCTATGCCCCTCTTCATATCTCTCCACCCCATGTGTCTCTCACCATCTCCCCACCTCTCATAGTGTGGCCGAACTGTACAATGGCCTTCCCTTCCTTGACAGCACAAAACAGGAGTTATGCTGAGAGCTTAAAGAATGGGAACATGACATTATGTCGGAGGCACAGTCACACTACACAATATCACACCACTCTCTGCCATACATCTCAGTCTGTGCCCTATGTGATCAGGTCACATACCCCTAAGGCTAGCCCCCTAACCCAATTGTCCGAGTCAGGATATACTTCTAAAACCATATTAACTTCTTGAAGATGGATAAGTTACAAATTTCCTAAACAGGCATTCACAATGGCACCCTAAACATTCATGCTGCTGGCTTATGGATCAATAATTAACCGCTACAATGCAAGCACCAGCTGTAGCTTAAACCATCCATCGTGGATTAAAGAAGACCAAATTATCACTTCATGGCTTCTTATTATATGGGTCATGGTTTATGAATATTGAATATTAAAAGTATCACATAGATTTTATAGAAAAATGCACTGACTGGCCATTGGATGCTACTGAAGTGCAACATATTCAGATACAACCGCATATTGCTAAAAGAAAACAAAAAAACAAACAAAAACCAATTGAAGTACAGGAGTGAAACTCACCTTTTTTACCCACTGAGGCATAATATGAGTACTGGGCGAGCGATGATGGGTGTTGATTATAATTACAGTTATTACAATTGATGCAATCACAAACATCATGGTAAATAACATGTACTTTCCAATCAGAGGGACCGCACTCGAGGTGGAAGGGATCAACTCAACAATGACCAAAAGAAACACAGTCAATGACAGCAAGATAGAAACGCTGAGTGTTATTTTCTCGCCTACAAATTTGGAAACACAAAAAAGTATTTCAAAGTTTATGTGGGTTAAATACATAAATAGGTGTATTATAAAAGGCTATGTAGGTCTGAGTTGACATTTGCACACTTTTAGTACATAGAATATAGTTATCAAGACAATCTGTGAATTTGCATGAAACCTGAGTATGACAAAAAAATTGTGTACTGGTCTTCCACTGTGGACACAGCAAGACCATCACTTTTTTCCCTAAAATTCTTGATACTTTCAGCTTAATATATTTTGGTTCAGTTTTGTCATACAGAGTCGCATCCAGAAACTTTGTACCTGAGTCAGTGGGCAGATAAAACACCAATCCAGTTAGAAATGAAAAAAGCAGACATGGTATGATAACGTTGACAATGAAATAAAGCGGGAGACGTTGTAAGAGGAAGTGATACGTGATATCCAGGTAAGGTGTATCAGGACAACAATCGTAATAAACCCAGTGTTTCCAGCAGCGATAGTCCTTCATCAGCCATTCTCCGCTCTCCATGAAGCTGCTCAGATCCGGACGGTCACTCTCCTGCAATGTAAAATTCAGATATCTTTTTTAGAATTTTTTAGTGTTGCCATGAGGTTTTTCTTTGGTTTCTCCTTATAAGCAGCCACATTAATCGATCCAACTTGTACAAATCAACACTTGCATCATGTCACTAGTATAAATTAGTTGAGTTTAACTTTTATTGTTATGGACATGATGTGCATTATGATACCTTCTTCCTAACATTATTGGAGGCTCTGTGAGCTGTGAGAGTTGCATTACCTTGCTTCATCTCCTGCTATATAAAGTCTGACCCTTTCATAATGGAGAAAACAAATAGCATGCCCTCTTTTTCTATCTATATGTTCTGTATACAGAAGTGCTCTGGAAAAACCCTTAAACTGGTATTGGCTGTTAGATTGAACATTATATTCTAGTGCTAAGAGTGTAAATAAACTAAATGCTACAGTTACCAAACATGTCTAACACTATACTGGTCAAGATAATGCCACATACATTCACACATTGTTACTAGAAAAGAGTAGATTACTGTGACAAGACCAATCTCGCCACTGTGCGTTGGAGGAGTCTGGTTGCCCGCCTGCTGCGTTTAGACTATGGCCCCATGTTGAAATGCTTGATTTTCCCCTGCAAAGACACGAAAGCTGGGTCATTCAGTGCTTGCCCTGTTTGAGCAGTGATACCCCAGATAGCTATGCCATGGAGCCCATTCATATAATGAAAGACTATGGGAAAGACTTTGGCTCCATGGCAATTGAACTGTATGTGTGTGATCTGAGTGCCATTCAGTAATAATGTGCGCTCAGATCTGAGCTATCTGGGGATATGTTGAATGTACCTGTTTTATGCAATGGCTGCACAGTTATATATTTTTATGTATTTTATTGTCTTTTGCTGCCATGTGTTCAATGGAGTTTTGCCTCTGTCCTTGGAGATAATTGGATTACTTCCCAATTATCTCCAGGATAGAAGACTCTGTGGAACTGGTTTTGGGCAGAAAAGCCATGCTTCATTTGGTCACAAAGGACTACGATCTATCTTTTGAACCACTGGACCAATTTGTATGATTTTGACGTAAGTTTGTATTTGGAGTATGCTGATTCTGAAAATGTAAGTTTTATGTGAATGTGATGCATACTTTTAAAATTATGAATAATGTGGAAAAACTGTATTTCTCTGCCTGTGATAATTATATTACCCATTGTGTAAGGTAATTGTATTACAGGCAGAGGGGAGGATTTTGTGTGGCAGTGTCTGAGTGTATTGTACGTGTTTATTGGTTGTTTTCCAAAACCCTGTGGATGGTCCTAATGTGTAAGAACAATAAACCCACAGCTCTGTCTGTTCCTGCTTGACCCCCAAAACGGAGCCTTGTCTCGTTCTTGGGGGGAATTTATTGTATGCTGTTCCAGTTCAACTGCTAGGAGTGTAATCCTATTCGTATGGTTTTTCCTATTCGGCTGTTTACAGCATTCGTATGTTTGAGAGCATTCGCATGCTTCTCCGGTTCGGTGGATTGGTGTCTACAGTAGCTGTGCCTGTGTCTCTGGAAGGGAAGATCCACTAAACGGCAGTTTAACCCTTTTATGCCTGGGAGTGTCGTTACAATTATAAATTACCTGGAATATGACTGGTAGATATAAAATGAGCTTCAGGGACAAATAATGGAGTAATCAGCAGGAAAACATTTATTGATTCCATGGCAATCCACTTTTACAACTTTGCGCTAGAGTGGAGTATTTTTGTATTGTAAAAATGCTTTATATCAAAATGTGTAAAAACCAGTGGAGTGCCAAAAGCAAACTTATCATATTTAATTAATGATTATCCAAATATGGCTCAGTGAACAAAATGTGACACTTGCTTACTTACATTTACTGTCTTGTGGTCAAAAAAAAAAAATCTTACATTTAATTGTGAAACATTCAAACAAATTACTCACCGGGTTTATAACCACTAATGCGCCATCATAGGTCCATGTGCCGAGTTTCATGCTGCAGTTCTGCTGGTCAAATGGGAAATGCGTGACTATCATTTCACAGTAGCTTTTGAAAATGGCTGGAGGTGTCCATGTAATTTTTCCAGTGTAATCCAGAAGGGCTTTAGTTACTGGGGCGATATTAAAGTCACCATCACCGCTACAGGAAAACAAAAAATAGTGTTGAATAGCTTTGAAATGATTGCTGAAATTAAATTTTTCACTTAACAGTTTCACAAAACATTTAGCTCTATGTAGAGTCTTATCAAGGATGGGAAACGGGGAGTTCTACCAGTGTTGTTCAACTACACTTCCTTCAACGCAGACTAACAGTGAAACTAGTATCAGCAGTAAAAAATTCTATATTTATATTGTATACACTATCAGTGTACATATTATATTACACGTACTAGACTGATTGGAATAATTTTACTTTTTTTTGATTCAACTGATTTGTTTTCCCAAATTCTTAATGAAATTCAGCTGAGCCGAAACACCATATGACCAAAACCTGGGCATCCTTAAAAAATATTCATATTAGGCAGAAGTGATACAGCCATGATCATGTCTAGGAACCAATCTGAGCCCCGTTCTTCACTTGTTTTCCTTGTGTCTCTAGTATTTCTGTGTCCTTTATCTTGTCTCTCGAAATCATTGATGTAGTTAAAGTCTGTGGAAGGTTCGGGTGTGAATGCAGCTGTTTATTTGTATGGAATGCAAGCACAATGGCACAATGAGTAAATAAAATGTTTTTTTGCATGGGCCCATCTAAAAGCCTTAGGTTCTAGATATGAATAATCAAAGTTTCATATTTACTGAAAGAAATACTAGACCACCTGGATGAGAATTCACCAGTAGCTGGGTTCTTGCAATCTTGCATTTTAGAGGGAGCAGGTCTACTGAGTAAAGACTCTTCTGTAACTCGCAGTGCATAGGCTCACATCAAATGGCCAACCCCTTTCTAGAATGGAATATGAGTTTCTGTAGCTAACAAACTGTATTGCTAAACAGCAACTATGATACCATAAAAGTTACCTCGCCTTAAGGGTTACTCCAAGCTTTATAACCACTACAACCCACTATAGTGGCTATGATGGCAGGAGTTTCCCGGCTTGGATCAACAGTATAGGGGCAAGCCATTAAGTAGGTTTGCCCTTTTACCTAGGTCACTGCTGGGCTTTGAGTCTCCATTCCCTTGTAGTGACGTTCTGCAGAAACCAGAAATCCAATTGCCAATCATTGGCATAGAGCATCAACTGATCACTCTCAGCAAAAAAATGGCTCTCCGTGAATGAAAACTTGAATATGTTTGGCATTAGCCACCCGGGAACTCTTGTTCTTGACTAAATGACGTCCTTTGTGCAGCAAGGGAAACTCCATATGTGCAGCATTTCATACCGAAACACTCCAAGCACCATAGTTACATACATGATTACATAGGCTGAAATGAGATATGCGTCCATCATGATCAGCTTTTCTCACATTTGCATTTGCTGTTGATCCAAAAGAAGGCAAAAACCCAGTTGGAAGAGCTTTCCAACTTTGCAACAAACTAGTCGAAAAATCCTTTTTGACACCAGAATACCAGTCAGATCTCTCCCTGCATCAATAAGCTATTACCACACATAATAAAAAATTCCATAACTTAATATTTTGTTTTGCAACTACTCATTCGGTTGCTGTTTACACATCTGTAAAGACTCTGATAAAACCACCTCTTTAAGCACAGAATTACACATCCTTATTGTTATTACTGTAAAAAAACATTTCCTTTGCCTTAGCCAAAATCTTCTTTCTTCTACTCTAAATGCATGGCCTTTTGTTCTATGTATAGTCTTGCGTATGAATAGATTTCCAGACAATGGTTTGTATCGGCCCCGAATATATTTGTATAATGCTATCATATCCCAAAGCGCCATTTTCATAAACTAAACTGATCTAAATGAGTTAACCTTTCTTCATAACTAAAATGTTCCATTCCTTTTAGTAATTCTGTAGCCCTGACTTTTTCTCGTGCCATAATACCATTCATTAGAACACATGCCCAAAATTGAACAGCATATTCAAGGTGTAGTCTTACCAGTGTTTTTATAAAGAGGCTAAATTATATTTAAATTATATTTTCATCCTGATATTTAATGCCCCTTTTTAAACATGACAATATCTTACTGGCCTTAGCAACTGCCAATTGGCATTGCACATTGTTGCCTACTTTGTCGTCTATAACAGTTCCTAAATCCTTCCCCTGTTTTTGTTATGCTTAATTCACTACCATTTAGGGTGTAAATAGCTTGTGCATTCTTTACCCCAATATGCATAACTTCGCATTTATCAACATTAAACTGTATCTACCATTTGAATGCCCAGTCCCCCAATCTATCTAGATCCCTATGCAGTGAGGTAATATTCTGCTCACATTGTATTATGTGAGTTTTATGTCATCTGCAAACACTGAAACATGACTTTCAATGCCACTGAAGTGGTCATGGTACTTGGAATAATACTTTCATTAAGAACGTTTGGCACTTACTGTGACTTTGATTCTGTATGATACAACCCTTACAGCTGCAGGACGTATAGTTTACAGTCGACTTTTCCAGAGGTTAGGTGTACTTAGTCCTCCATTTTCTGACCGTTAACAATCCAACCCACTTACTTATTGTAAAGAACTAAATCTGGCCGCCAAATATCACTAGAAGGGATGCGGATCTTCTTTATTCCTCCGTAGTCTTCTGGGTTCCATTTTAGGTTTACATCCACCCATTGCTGAGCAATTATAAAAATAATAGTACACATTTTTCAAAGTATCAGTAAAAGATCAAAACAATTTCTTTAGACCTATGCAAAAATTAAATACTCTTTTGATTATATAAAAATCCATCAGAATAAAACATTTATTTTTTGCAATTTCCAATTTAACATAACAATATATATTATTTATAAGTACAGTTGTACTCAACACAACAAATGTTTCAAGTGGTCTCCCATAATTCATCTGGAAGTGCAATTTATATTGACAATTATTATAATAATAATTTGGATTAGAACTGTATATACTTAATTTATATTCTGTACTGAAAATATTTCCGGTGACTGAAGAGATTAAAATATATAATTGCCAGAAGATTACTTTAGTCTTCTTCAAGATGGCCACTGTAATGCATGTGGCCAAAAAATATCTATGTATGGCTTTCCTACTACATGAGTCAGTTGGGGACTGGCATGTGTCTGCTTGTCTGCTGTAGCAGACATGTTGTGTCTGGGTGTTCAACCCCTCAGCACTGAAATTCTTAATGCAAAATAACTTTAACTATGCATTTATTATCGCTTTGATTATCACAATGTATATTTAAGAGGAAAGTGGCACAGGTGTTCCTGTTGGACTATTAAAGTAATGCCCAAGAGTGCAAGCACTTGTCCGACACATGTGTTTAGCGGGATAGTCCTTATTTGGCTCCTGTATAGAGCTTCAACAATGTTTAACAATGTGCTTGCATTGTGTCTGGCTAGGAAGCTGTCAGTCAGCCTAGCATCTTCTGTGGCTACTGTAGGTCTGCCCCCTTTTCTGTGTTGTTTGTCACTGGTAAGCACACCCCTGGGGTCTGCAAACCCACAATTTTAAGAGCAATTCCCTGTAGATGCCTGAGTGCGTATAAGAGTATCACTTTATCATAGAGATGTGTGATTTATTTTTACATACCTCCACAAAAGTATTCACCTCCAGTTAGTGCTTCAATAGCATTTAACGGGGTGCAGGAAGTGAAATGACAGTTCCGCTCTAAGCACTGTTAATGGTTTAGGCACAATATGTGTACAAGAACTATAAAAGCAAAAGAAATAAAAAAACTAAAATAATAACACATTAACCACTAAATGGTATAATAATTTTCAGTCAGAGAAAAAGCTTTTATTCCAGCCCTGAATTATTAAAAGTACTCACGCTAATTCTAAACTTTGTCCAACACAATATTTTGTCTACTGTTTTTTATTTATAAGCTATGTAAAGGTTTTCATGAAAAATTACATACTTTATAAAAACTTTATGCCACCAACCTGTTTCAGACGAACATTAGTAGTTACGATTTGATTTACTTCATCCTTAAGAAACAAACAAACCCCCAAAAATATTAGTGGCACTTAATATACAATGTAACACATACATTAAACATTTTAGGGGAAATATTAATGGAGTTTTATTGTTCATACCACGTTAATGAGTTGTATAAGCTGAAGTCCGACTGTTACCACAACCTTATCTTTAAATTTCTGAACAGGACGAACGACCTTGTTGTAGGTTGTGAATAGATCGGAAAACAACTGGGATTCATCTTCAGAAGAGAGGACAGTTCCAGCTGCTGTAAGGAACAAAGGGGCACTTGTTGATAAGTTTACTTTGAAACAAAATTTCAAATGGACATCAATAAAAATGATGCATGCCTTTACATTACATGAATATGCAATAAAAGATTTAGGTATAAATATATTTTTACAGAAAACCATCACAGACCTACCTAAATTCTACATATTTATCACGACTTTCCCAGTTGAGAGTATTTTATTAGTTGCGAACAGAATGAGACAAATTGGGATATCACCTACTGAAAGGGTTCTTAGTTTTACTTCGTAGCAAAGGAATGGCCAGAATTTTGGTAGGAATGGCATTGAGTGAATGTGGTTTTATGGACTTTTCATTTATTTATATTTATGTCTTGACTATTTTGTATTTGAAGTTCAAAAATCTTTTCACTTGTCATTTAATGGTTTTGCTATTTTTAAATCTAAATTAAAAATGTATGTCGATACTTGACTGAGTATTAGTATACGTTTTTCATGTGTCTGGATAGATAAGAAGTCAATGGTAGTAGAGTTTGCAATGGTGAAGAAGGGTCGTCAATGCCAATATAATTATCTGTCCAGTGGAACAACCTTCTTTGACTTCCAATAGAGTGAAATACAAATACAGAGTACATGACGACGAGGAAGGAGACGTACGAAAAAAAGACTGCGGAACAATGAGAAGAAAACAAACTATAAAATGGAATAAAAGCTCTGAACTTGTTTCCCAGTAATGTTACAGCACCCTGTTAAAGATATAAATACACTCACTAAACTGATTCACTCTGCTCGTACTTGAGCATTTGCCAAAGCCATAATCCCAGGATATAACAGCTTTACAGATTTTAGATAGCTTCCTTATGACACCACTTGTAAGTGAGCCTTTCTGGGCCAGACATTCTCTGTATAGGACATGACATTTCATCCTGTGACATTGAGAAAGTATAAACAATGCTTTATACGTCTGCTAAAAGGTCATTGTTATGGACTCCTGCAAATTGGAGGAATCCATATTGTTTTTGATCCATGGTTCATCCCATGAGAAGTTGTAAGACCACAGTTCATGAGTTCATAAATGCTCTATCACTAATTACATTAATTTGCTAAATTTGTAGTAACAGTCTGAACATTTTGCAATGTCACCTGTAGAGCCAGCAAGCTGGTTAATGTACAACATGGAGCCAATACTTGCTAAGTATGTCTGAGCAGTAAAATTAGATTTTATTTTTTCTCCATAAAAAGGGATAATTCTGCCGTCATACTTCTTGTACCTAGTATTCTAGTCAACGTGCCATAAAGGTTTGTCCATAACGTTTTATAATTTTGCATTTCAAATGGACCTCTGTTAATATTGTATATAGTCTAATTATGCCTCTTCTTTAAAGTTACCTTATTAAAATAACCAGCGGGCAGCGGCAAAATGAAACAGAGAATTTCATAACAGATGGGAGCTATGTGCCAATCTGCATTGAAATATTCAGACAACACAAATTCTTGGTTAGTGATGTCCCAAACGGTTCGCTGAACGGTTCGCCACGAACGGTTCACCACGGACTCATCATTGAGTAAACTTTGACCCTGTACCTCACAGTCAGCAGACACATTCCAGCCAATCAGCAGCAGACCCTCCCTCCCAGACCCTCCCACCTTCCTGGACAGCATCCATTGTGAAGCTGCATTCTTAGTGAGCTGTCCAGGAGGTGGGAGGGTCTGGGAGGAAGGGTCTGCTGCTGATTGGCTGGAATGTGTCTGCTGACTGTGAGGTACAGGGTCAAAGTTTACTCAATGATGAGTCCGTGGCGAACCATTCGTGGCGAACCGTTCGCGAACCGTTCGGGACATCACTATTCTTGGTATATCTTAAACACAGCTACGGAACTTCAGCTAAAAATATGTACTGTTTGTTTGTCGCCTGCCCCCCTCAGTCTTGCTTTGACCGATCTAAGAATATAGGCAACATTCCAAATTCAACAAACAAGCTGAAACATAGGAGCTAATTAGAAGGAATCGTTTAGTATCAACTTATGTCTTATGTATTCCATTAACGAGCATTGATTTGGAGTCAATGCAATGTTCCTTGCTACCACTGTTACAAGCATATTAATTTTGTGTAGTTAGTGTTGGATTAGTGAATAAAATCCAAAGTGTTTTTTGCCCCAAACATTGCATCTGGATGCAAACGGATCAGAGCTCACTGCTTAGCGAGTAAACCTCTTTCTGTACCATGAACACATACTGGGTTATTCGCTTAAGTGAGAATTTAAGGTGTATTCAAAGTGAATTTCAAATTTAAAGGAACACTTCAGGTGACTCCCCATTCAATAGACTGGCTTGCAAAAGGTATGTTTCTTTGCAACCAGTTTTGTGAATGGGGAGTCACTGATTGGCTGAATCAGTTGACTGCTCTCAACCAATCAGAGGCACCCTGCCCGGCATCTCAAAATTCAGAAGCTGCCAGGGGAGGAGTGAACACCAACACTGGGGGCAACTTAGAGGTTAAACTGTTCGAGAACGGTTTAACTCCTTCAGGTAGAGGGTTTACATGAAGTTGTTTTGGTGTTTGGAGTGTCCCTTTAAGATCAAAAGAGCTGAACTGGAGAAATTCTCTCAGTCAGCTATACTTCCAGTTCAGCTTCTCTACCCTTAAATGGACAACTACAGATCCATAAATCACTTTAGCTTGAGAATGCTTGATTTGTGATGAGTGTATCCTCTTTTCAGAATTTAAAAAAACAGCTGGTTTCAATAGAAATTGGTGCTTTTACTTTGTTACACCCCCTGGCTTTTAAGCAGACAACCGGTCCTGTTACTTCCTGGTTTATTTAGCTCAGTAGAACTAAACTCTAGAGGCAGCAGTTACTCAGAGTACCTGCCTTGCAAAGACTTCTCATTGAGCTGTATTGGGAAGTCTGTGATTGGACAGTCACAGAAAGTCTGGGCTGGGTTAGAAGAGGCAACAGACAAGAGATATGCACTATAGTCAATCAAACCACTTTGTCTCAAATAAGTGGTCTAGGTGCAATCTCCTTGTCCCCTTAACCCTACAATGCAGACCATTGCAGTTTTAAAAACAATGCAGTTTATATTGCAGGGTTAAAATTGCATCTAGTGGCTTTCTACCAGACTCCCTCATGCTATGCAGCATCTACCAATCCCCCAAGGCCTAGTGCGCACACAGCGCTTGCCCCATTAGGTTCCCCCGCGCAGTGTATTAAAGCATTTTTAACCCTTTAATTGCCGTGGTGGGAAAGGGGGATTAGAGGTATACTATAATGTTAGAAATACAGCTTTGTATTCCTAACACAGTGTTCCTTTAATAGGAACATATTTTGCCGTATCAAACCCACAATACAAATGAGTATTAAACATGAAAGAGGCACTAGACATTATTAAACTCCACTTATAGGCTATATCAATTCAGTGTTTAACATAAATAAACCAGATCCACTTTGTGAATCTCTGTCACTGCAGGAGGTACATTTAAAAGAACTTGCATGTGCAGATCCCTGCAATTATTATCTATATAGGCAAACCACGGGCAATTTATAATAAATAGCTATCAGATACCAAGCTTTTGTATAGATTAACACCTGCATTCAGCTCTCATGGGATTTTAAACGTTTTGTACGTTTGGATGTTTGTGTAGTTTACAAAAAAACAGCCATTGTGATTATTTGTCACCAGTGCATAATTTTGTTTACTGTATATTCTATAAAGGTTTATTACATTTTACTGTGTGTATATGCTCCTCTATATAAACAATATGTTATACTGTTTAGCTGTGGCATATAATGTGATTGCTAAAAATTATGAAAGAAAATAATATACAAACAACCCATTTAAACGTTATACATGTAACGTTATGTTACATGAACTGTTGGTATAAGCTATTCAGTTTAACACTAACTAACATATGCAATTCTTTACAATTCTTCAATAAATTATTAAAAATTAAAAGTGATTTAAAGTTAGGTTGATGCAATGATTCTGTAACTACTAGGATATATACTAGACAAGTATTAAACAAGACAGTGACTCACAAACATACCTGATATCAATAGGAATATTAGACGTATGACAGCAAAATCCATTTCCTTCGTGTCCTCTTAACTCTGTTGCTGTGTGGTTTTTGTGTTTGCACTAAAGATATTTCAGGCAGATGAAGATCTGAAACCTCACTCACAGGAATGTAACTAGTGGCTATTGTGTCTCCACCTGTTCTGTACGACAGCTGAGTGTTTGACACCAGCTCCATGCTTTTATTTTTAATCTAAATGATTTTTACTACAATTTCATTAAATATCTAGGTATTACAGGCGAGAAAACTGGCACATTCTTTTATGTTTTTTGGCTGCACCCCCACGCCATGTGCCCCACACGTCCCCCCAATGCAAGCCCCCACACTCAGATACACACACTGGCACGTACACACACAGATAAACACACTGGCACATACACACACTGGCACAGACACATACACACACTCAGATATACACTGACACATACATACAGATGCACACACTGGCACATATACACGGATACACACTGACACACAGATACACATGGACACGTACACACACTGGCACATACACACACACACATACACATACAATCTGACATACATTGCAGCCACCTGTTAGCTTACCTTTGGGGGTCTGGGCTGAAGCTGATGGGAGTGAGCATATAGCTGCTTACTCCAGCCTCTCCATGCTGCCTGTGGTAGTGCTGACACCAGCCTCCTCCCCCCCTCTGTGGCTATCTTTGATTTCCGTGATATTACAAATGGTATGCGGGTGTCAGGAAGCCCCATTAAATATGCGGGAGTTTCACAGAACTACTGGGAGACTTGGGATGTCTGAATAAATGAAGTGTAAACATTAGATTTCTCTTTACAGGAAGTGTTTAGGAAAGCTTTGTAAGTCACATGCAGGAAGATGTGACTAGGGCTGCATAAAGAAAGTGATTTAACTCCTACATGTCAGATAATTGAGCAGTTAGACTGCAGGGAGATAATCTATACACCAAAACCGTGTGGACATGGGCTGAGAAGTGGGAACAGGGGCTGTAGAAGGGGGAGGGGGTGGCAGGGACTGTAGAAAAGGGGCACTTGCCATTAAAACGGGGATAGCACCTGTAGAAGGGGGACAAAAGCTGAAGAGGGGGCAGGGGCTGTAGAAGCTGGCACAGGGCTGTAGAGGGGACACAGGGCTGTGGTGGGGGCACAGGGACTGTTAATGGTTGGCACAGTGACACTAGAGGGGGCACATGAGCTGCAGAGGTTGGCCCAGTGGCAAAAGAGAGGGCACAGGTGCAGTAGAGGAGGCACAGGGGCTATAGAGGTTTAAACTGGGGCAGTAGGGAGGGCACAAGAGCAGTAGAGGGGGCACAGGAGCAGAAGAGGGGGCAAGGGCTGTAGAAGGGGCACATGGACTGTAGAGGGGGCACAGGGGCTATAGATGGGGACACAGTGGCAGTAGTGAAGGAAACAGGGGCTTTAGAAGAGGGGACAGGTGCTGTAGAGTAGGGCAGATGAGCTGTAAAAGGGGGATAGGGGCTGTAGAGGGGGACACAGGGACTGTAGAAGGGGGCATATGGGCTGTAGAAAAGGGGACAGGGGCCATAGAGGGGACAGGGATGGGACAGGAGCTGTAGAGGGATGACAGGGGCTGTAGAGGGGGGTGCAGAGGCTGTGGTGGGGCACAGGGGAGGTAGTGGGTGCACATGGGTTATGATGGGGGTACTGGGGCTGTTAATGGTTGGCACAGTGACACTAGAGGGGGCACATGAGCTGCAGAGGTTGGCCCAGTGGCAAAAGAGAGGGCACAGGTGAAGAATGGGTGGACAGGGGCAGTAGAGAGTGCACAGGAGCTGTGGTGGAGGCACAAATACAATAGAGAGGTCACAGGGGCTGTAGAGGTTTTCACCGGGACAGAAGAGGTTTGCATAGTGGCAGAAGAGGAGGTTCAGGGGCTGTAGAGGGAAGACAAGGGCTGCTTAAAAAACAAACAAACAAAGAACAACAAAAGAAAAAGTTTTAATTAAAAAACTATATCAAGAATAAAAGTGTATTCCCCCTTCTCTGAGGCTTACCGTGGGCCAGGGAGGGGGGAAACCAGGACAGGAGCTAGAGCCTGCAGGTCCATTCAGCTGCGCTGGGGAGTTTGGGGGAAGAGCAGTGGATGCCACATCCTACTGCTGACATCATTAGAAGAGGCCTGCCGACATCACTGCCAAGCTGTTTTGTGTCTGTCTGCTTTAATGAAGCAGGGACAGCGAGAAGTATGTTGCAGTAATTAGAAAAATTTGAGTCCTCAGCCAGAGGCAGGGGATTGGGATTTTTACACTTATGGACGCGTCGGCCCTGCACACATGCATATTCACCAACAAACACTCACATGGATATGCGCACACATACACTCATACTTTCATATAAGCACACATTTACATTCATATGCACACACACTTCTCACACACTGACATACACACACACATTCGATTTTTATATTGGATTGCTGCTTTAATCAGTCTGTGCACTGATTGCAAAGTTTCATAATTCACAAATCCCCCCCAGGTACGCCTCTGATCCCAGCTTCTTGTTTTCATTATAATCATCCAGTGTGAACCTCCAAGACATATTACTTGTTTCCTCTGCACTATAGTGTTTGTACTGATGATTTCTAATAACTCCTCTGGATATTACTCTACCTCTAGTTGAAGAGACCCTTCTTTTAGAAGAGAACTCTTTCCTTGTCACCTTCTTGTCAAAATGTTGCTGTATCATTTATTTTTGTTAAATTATTCTCTACCCCTCTATCTCTTGTTTCCTCTGCATCTTCATTAATAATCAAAATGTAATAAGCACAATCTCATGTCACTTTGCAGGAAGTGTGCCCTAATTGTCTCCAATTAAAGGGGCAAAATGATCACCACAAATCAAACACATCACTTTACAATGCCTCTCACATACCTGATTTGGTTTGCAGATAAACTGATACATGGAACCATTTTATTAATTAATTTATAATATAATATACAACTAAAACCATACTACAATTGTTTGTTGTATTCATATTTGACTTATCTCATATTGATTGTTCATTTTATTGTAAATTGTTTATTTTAAATCTTTCAATAAAAGCTATTTGAAAAGGGTATAATTTGTATTTTACGTAGGAATATATGTATGCAGGATTTTGGGCAAAGACCACAAACAGATTAAGTGAATTTTAAGCATGGGATGGATAACAAAATACGTTTCATCTGATGATATGCAAATATGAATAAAAGAGAAGTGGCTGATGGGTGAAGATAATTGGAATTTGCTTCAGACCTCCCAAAAACTTTGTAAACTAGAATATAAGGCTGGAAATACAAATACCACCATCCTGAAGATTTATCATTTTTATTTTCTTGGAATTTTTTGTTTATTTTGTCATTTGTTAATTACATTTTGATACGTATTCTATCCAGGAACATTCATATATGATGCAAATCCAATTCTTCATCTAGGAGAATTTAGGTTTATTCAACTTCATACTTTTTATTGAGACGCTTGATGAGTTCCCATTAAATGCTCCATATATAACTATATACTAGGTTTGTAAGATGGAGGAAGAATATTTTAACCCCTTAAGGACCAAACTTCTGGAATAAAAGGGAATCATGACATGTCACACATGTCATGTGTCCTTAAGGGGTTAAACAGTAAGGCAATATTTAATTATTTATTACTGTCAAGTTCAATTTAATGTCAAGATACAATAATATGCACCAAACATTCTTAACTTCTTGAGCTACATCAAGGTAGAAAAGATGGAGAGAGAGAGAGAGGCAGATTAGATTGATACATAGAGTTAAATAGGTATTTGAAGACAATGTTCAGAGTTACAGCATAACAAAAACAATATACTAGTAACCAAATAAAGCAACGTGGTGGTATAACAAGTCATGAGTGCACACAGAGTATGAATAAGAAACCTTTTAGAAAATAATACTTTCTAATGTCCTCAGAATCCAGTTTTTTATCACCTTGTCATGCTGGTGATGGTCGTTAAGACAACAATTGTTGATGGTGATTGCAATTAGTGAAAATCAATGTTTTACTTTAACCCTGCATGTGTAACTCAATGAGACGACCAGCAAACACAGCCGCTGTTCCAATTATACAAACTATCATGAATACCAAAAGCAGGATGTGATCCAGAACCATGGCAGTAAACCTCCATTCTTCGGAACCCTAAAATCAAACGAAAGAGAGATTAATTTATATTTCTATAACATATGGTACTTCGGAAAATAGTGAATAAGGGATTATTTTTGAAGACCTGTAAAACGGCTGCTTTCTTGGCCATAAGTAGGTCTGTTACCCAAAGTATTGAAACTGTACGTAATACAGTTAATTTGATGAAAAAAAGTTTGTCATTCGTATTATATTTTATGTAACATATTCCTGTACTTAATGGGACAATCCACTGCCCAAATTTGTTTTCATTGGGAGTAAATCTAAAAACATCTTTAAAATGGTGCAGATCTAAACCTGAAGTCGTCAGTACGCAAGCAACTTCCCACAGAGGCAAAGTAACCTACTAATGTAAAACAGAGCATGTTCATACCTATGTTACTGATGCATGTATTGCGTAGTGTTATTACAGTATGTATAATGTAGCACAACGACTGACCAAAAATAAAGAATTTTTTTTTTAAATGGTGCAGATCTCTTGTCTGCAGCCTTTGAAAGTGCTCCTCTTTTAACCCCACCCAAACTTCCTGTGACTGTCCAATCACAGACTTCCCAATGCAGCTCAATGAGAAGTTTATGCAAGGCAGGTGCTCTGGACAATTACTGCCTCTTGAGTTTGGCTTCACTGAACTAAACAACTAGGAAGTAACGGAACCTGTTGTCTGCTTAAAAGCTGGGGGGTGTAACAGGGTTAATTTATAAATGTGCCAATTTCTAATGCAATCTGCACTTTAAATAAAATGAAAAAAAGAGTACACACTCTTCACACATAAAGCATTCAACAAGATAAGTTTCTTCAGGAGTCCATATTGTCTCTTTAAGATATAGGGCCAGCAACCTACACAATTTACCTCATTTGCTAAAAAAGATTTTGTGAATATATTTGCACAGTTACAAACTTTTCTCAAAACTACCTATTTGCTACTAAATTACTTCTAATAAAAGGAGTGATTACTTGTTAATGTGCACTTTTTCAAACCTTATCAATGCACGCTTCTGTTTTATTATTTTTTTTTAACAAATTGTGCAAAAATGAGTTGGTTTAAAAATGTAAAATTAATTTGTTAAGACATTTGGCCAGCTTTGTATGTGACACCTATTTATTCTAGAGGTTTGTATTTGTACCTTATTGGATTCCTTGTCTGCATTCATGGTCTCTGCTATGTACTTTACTCCATCAATTGCATTCTTCACATCTGGGCTCTTTAATACTGGAGATTGGTGAGCCACTTCTGCGGGTCCGAGCTTTCCTGAAATATCTGATATATCCATATCTTCAGTAAAAATGTTCTTCCTTTGTTTTTGTTCTGAAGGCCGTTTCATTGTAGAAAAGAACATAATGTTTGGGATGGTCTCAATAAAAACCTATATCAAAAGAGTGAGTTAATAAACATTCAGAATCCTGTGTATATTCATTTATAAAATTTGGCAGGATTCTATCTCCAACTGGTTAAAACCGCAGGATGAGTCCTTACCACACTAGGAATTGGTTAAAACATATCAGCCAACCCTAGTCCTTTCATTACTTCCAAAGGTAATGATAACCATATCAGAGACACTGTATATGTAGTTTAGCACTTGAAGCAATTTTGATAATTAAAAATGCATTAATAAAACTGCTAGGGTGACAGAAGTCACAGTGTGTGTCCGTCCATCATGTTTTGTGCGTCACGCTCCTTCTCTATGCCCCCACTTGTGTGTGCCTCTTTTTATGGCACCTTTGTGTGTGCCCCTATCTATGCCCCTTGTGAATCTTTCTCTCCATATCCCTTTGTATGCTAGCCTTCATGTCCTCATTGTGAGTGCCCATCTCTATGCCCCTCTTCATATCTCTCCAACCCATGTGTCTCTTACCATCTCCCCACCTCTCATAGTGTGGCCGAACTGTACAATGGCCGTCCCTTCCTTGACAGCACAAAACAGGAGTTATGCGGAGAGCTTAAAGAATGGGAACATGACATTGTGTCGGAGGCACAGTCTCATTACACAATATCACGCCACTTGCTTCCATACATCTTAGTTTGTGCCTTATGTGATCAGGCCATGGATCAATAATTGACCACTACAATGCAAGCTCCAGCTGTAGCTCAAACCATCCATCGTGGATTAAAGAAGACCAGGTTATCACTTCATGGCACTGTATCGGAGGCACTACACAATGTCAAGCCACCTCCTGCCATTCTTTTCAGTCTGCATCCTACAATATCATGTCACATTCCCCTAAGGCTGGCCCCCCAACCCAATTTTCCTGGTCAGGATTTACTTCTAAAACCATGTTAACTTCTTGAAATTGGATACGTACAAATGTCCTACTTTGGAATTCACATTGGCAAGCTCCAACTGTAACTCAAACCATTCATCGTGGATAAAAGGAGATGAAGTTACCACCTAATGAGTTCTTATTATAAGAGACATGCTTTTTGAACATTGTACACTAAGAGTATCACAGGGATTTTATAGAAGATTGTGCTGACTGGCCATTGGATGCTACTGAACTACAATATATTCAGATGCTACTGTATATTGCTAAAAAAGAAAACCAACCAAACAAAAACCAATTGAAGTACAGGAGTGAAACTCACCTTTTTTACCCACTGAGGCATAATATGAGTACTGGGCGAGCGATGATGGGTGTTGATTACAATAACAGTTATTACAATTGATGCAATAACAAACGTCATGGTAAATAACATGTACTTTCCAATCAGAGGGACCGCACTCGAGGTGGAAGGGATCAACTCAACAATGACCAAAAGAAACACAGTCAAAGACAGCAAGACAGAAACGCTGAGTGTTATTTTCTCGCCTACAAATTTGGAAACACAAAAAAAAAAATTCAAAGTTTATGTACACTGGAAGTACTAGAATATAGTTAGCAAAACAATCTGTGAATTTGCATGAAACCTGAGTACGACAACATTTTTACAGACACAGCAAGACCATCACTTTCATATAGGTTTATACATCACACAAAATATCTTGTAATGAAAAGTAACAGAGGGTGCTCAAATTATTGAGACTTTCAGCTTAATATATTTTGGTTCAGTTTTGGCATACAGAGTCACATATCGCATCCAGAAACTTTGTACCTGAGTCAGTGGGCAGATAAAACACCAATCCAGTTAGAAATGAAAAAAGCAGACATGGTATGATAACGTTGACAATGAAATAAAGCGGGAGACGCTGTAAGAGGAAGTGATACGTGATATCCAGATAAGGTTTGTCAGGACAACAATCATAATAAACCCAGTGTTTCCAGCAGCGATAGTCCTTCATCTGCCATTCGCCGCTCTCCATGAAGCTGCTCAGATCCGGACGGTCGCTCTCCTGCAATGTAAAATTCATATATCTTTTTTTTAGAATTCCTTAATGTTGCCGTGAGGGTTTTCTTTGGTTTCTCCTTATGGGCAGCCACATTAATCGATCCTACTTGTAGAAATCAACACTTGCATCATGTCACTAGTATAAATTAGTTGTTGAGTTTTATTGTAATGGACATGATGTCCATTATGATACCTTCTTCCTAACATCATTGGAAGCTCTGTGAGGTGTGAAAGTAACCTTGCTTCATCTCCTGCTTATAAAGCAGTTACCTAACCGCAACATGCAACCCAGCAACTAAAAAGGGTAGATCATAAATGACATGGAATTTGTTTGATAGAGCTTGATCATTTCTACAACACATGGGAAATTATGTATAAAATTATGTTCCAAAAGAACATTTCATTGGTTTCCATGGCAATCACTTTTACAACTTTTTTTTGTTTTTGTAAATATGATTTTTTATTTGTTTTGCAGATAAAGGAAATAGGGAACAGTGATACTCGCAGGTATCTATTGACATATGAAATACAATAACAAATGCACAACATGTGCGAATATCAATCATAGAAAATGCGAAGATGTGTTTTAGATAATGTGAATCATATCAAGCCCAGATTGTGGATGGACTCGCAGGTCCCTTGTCGTATTAGTTACGGCTTGTACAACATGGGGGATAATTGTTTTTAGAAATTGCGAGGATTGGTTTGAAATAGTGCGATCAATTAGCATTTGGGCTTGCAGGTCCCTAGTGTTATTTTTTGACTTTGACAAGTTTTTTTGCAGTTGGGATGCAGAAGAAAAGAAAAAGGGTGGCGAGGGTTGAGTAAAAGTTGCGTGTATATTAGCTTGGTTTGCTTTTCGAACATACATATAGGATCGCATTTGTGTGTGTTAACTTTTTGCCCAAAATTTATACATTGGGTACTCATGCATTTGTAATTAGCTAGGTGGGTCGGAAGAGAGTTATGGAGACTATCTGTGGTGTCCAATCTGGTTGGTTTGTGCCATAGATTGTTTTTTCTGTTAGTTTCTGAGTTTTGCCTCTTTGCCAAATCGACTTTTTTCGTGTACTTTCTTGTGAGGTGACTAACTAGATCACTTTTACAACTTTACACTAGTGGAGTATTGTTGCTTCCTATTGTCAACTGTGGTTGTAGCAGTTATAGCTTGAGGAGGTGACCTCCTTTACCCCTTCCTGCAAATTTCTGAAATTTGTTCATGAATCATTCCAAAAATTACTCACCGGGTTTATAACCACTAATGAGCCGTCATAGGTCCATGTGCCGAGTTTCATGCTGCAGTTCTGCTGGTCAAATGGGAAATGCGTGACCATCATTTCACAGTAGCTTTTGAAAATGGCTGGAGGTGTCCATGTAATTTTTCCAGTGTAATCCAGAAGGGCTTTAGTTACTGGGGCGATATTAAAGTCACCATCACCGCTACAGGAAAACAAAAAATAGTGTTGAATAGCTTTGAATGATTTCTGAAGGTACAATTTTCACTTAACAGTTTCGAAAAACATAGAGCTCTTTACAGGGCCTTATCAAAGATGGGAAACGGGGAGTTCTACCAGTGTTGTTTAACTACACTTCCTATAATGTGATTGCATGGGTGAGCAATGTGTGGTCTTACCATTGACTTATAAAGAGATTAAAATTATATTTTAATCCTGAGAATTAATGCCCTTTTTATACATGACAATGCCTTACTGGCCTTAGCAACTGCCAAATAACATTGCACATTGTTGCCTAGTTTGTTGTCTATAACAATGACCAAATCCTTCTTGTGTGTTGTTATCCCTAATTCACTACTATTTAGGGTGTAAGTTTCTTGTGCATGCTTTACCCCGAAGTGCATAACTTTGCATTTTTCTACATTAAATTGTATCTGCCATTTGAGTGCCCAGTTCCTCAATCTATCTAAATCCCTCTGCAGTAAAGTAATATCCTGCTCACATTGTAATACATTACAGAGTCTGCCATCCGCAAAAACTGCAACATGACTTTCAATACCACTGAAGTGGTCATGGTACTTGGAGTAACTCTTTAATTAAGAATTTTTGGCATTAACTGTGACTTTATTCTTGTTTGACAGAAACTTTACAGCTGCAGGACTTATAATTTATACTCCACCTTTTTTGGAGGTTAGGTGTATATAGTCCTCCATTTTTTTTTATAATTTAAGGAAGAATTCTTTCTACAAGTCAATGGAACAGTTATGGGGACTAAGTTTGCTCCCAGTTATGCCAATATTTTTATGGCACATTGGGAAGAATTTTATATTTATATCCACCATGACTGCGAGCATAACTTCGTCACCTATGGCCGTTACATTGACAACCTTTTTTTTTATCTGGAAAGGAAATGTAGAGGAATTAAATGATTTTCTGAATTTCATCAATACTAACTAGTTAACTAGTGCTTGGAGTGCAAAAAGGTAGTTTTTTTAAGTTTAAATATTTATGTGGAAAATGAGATTATTGAAACTAAGAATCATTTTAAACCAGTTAAATCAAATAGCTTCATTCAGAGACTCAGCTGCCATTTTGCCCCTTAGCTGGAGAATGCCCCTAGAGGGCAGTTTTTAAGGGTCAGTGGAAATTGTACAGATATAGAAACCTTTGAACAACAATTGTTAAGGATTAAAAATGATTTTCTGGCTTGACCATCAACCTGAACAGACGCTATGCTTGCCTGCTCCTCTGCAAAAGCCATAATCCACTGAATATCTCCAAATTACAAGCCAATTAAGCTCCAAAAAGTTACCAGCAAGTCTCCTCAATACATCCTGAAGCATAGATGCCATTCTTTGTGGCTTCCAACCAGCCTAAGCGGAGGCGGAAATAGGGGCCTACCCCATGCTGACACTTCCAGGCCTGGAGGCACTCTTTAGCGGCACCGCGGCGAGAAGAGAGAGGGAAGAATCTTCCCCTATGAAGTCTGGTCCGCCTGCCCACATGCCAGCCATGGGCCACCACTCACAGAAACCGCAAACCGTGGCAGACAGCAGGGACTTCGGGGCTAGGCTACACAGGCCCACACAACCTAAAATGGCTCCCTCGGAAACCCTGCACTCCATTACCCACACTCATCAACCTGAGCATACTGAGCCGGAGACCTCCCTGGACGCTCAAATAAAGCATCCACCGCAGCCTGAAAATTACACTGACATGACACCAATCACCAGGCATGACTTGAAAGTATTGCTGTCAGGCGTTCACAAAATTTTGGCAGTGGAACTAGCTATCATCAAGAAAAATGTGAAAGCAATCACAGAATGAGTACAGGCATCCGAAAAAGACATAACGGACCTACAGTGTCACCTGTCCGTGCTCCAAGACTCAGTACAGTAAGTCTGGACACACCAGAGAGCCATGACTGCACAGATGACAGCCATGGAAGAACGTCAACGGCGCCCAAACATAAAAATAAGGGCATCTCCGCAGAAATCTCACCGGGTGAACTGCCGCACTACATCAGACACCTACTGGCAGTCACACACACTGCACCCCTAACACTCACAGCACCCACTACTGCTGCCTATCCCATGTGTTCCATATTAGGGGTTAATAAGCATGTAGCATGTATATAAAAAATACTCCTTTCTGTCTCATTAGAGATTTTTTTGCCAGAAGCTCAAGGAAGCAAGGCAAATGGTTAGAGTAGGACCCACCTAAGAGGTCTGCCTTGACGTGGCAGGTGGGCATACCCTCTCATGGCCATTGGAGGTAACTAAAAACCTCCATTTGTTTAAAAATACATAGGGATTTGGAAAGAGCGCAGGTAACTTTTTTCTTTGGTGTTATAATAGAGCCATACATAGGCTCCAGACTTGTGAGTATCTAATTGACTTACTCTTATATTCATATCGAACAATACTGTGCTACTCTATGTTCCTGTTTAATATATCTACATTAGGACTGGTGAAGCAAGACATCCTAAACCAGGGATGGGTCGCCTTAACGGACCCGAATGTAATTTCCACCTGAGCTAGGTTTAATAGCTCTCTGCTTGTAAGTGTTCCTATTCTTATATATACTCACGGATTTTAATTATACTACACTATGATGTATCATTTATGTTTTTAGGAAACTTGGATATATCACATGAAATCTGTCGAATTGGTAAAAGTATAGATATACCAGATTATTTCATTGAAAAGCGCTGCACTTTATTTTTTTTTATCGATTTGCTACTTTTTGGTGTATTTGGAAAGGTTACACCAGCTGCTATTTTTTTTACACATTTTCTATGATTAATAATTAATTGCACTTTATAAACACTAGTACCTGTCTACACTTCCAATCCAATGGACTTACTTATTGTAAAGAACTAAATCTGCCCGCCAGATATCACTAGATGGAATGCGGACCTTCTTTACTCCTCCGTAGTCTTCTGGGTTCCATTTCAGGTTTACATCCACCCATTGCTGAGCAATTATAAAAATGATAGTACAGAGTTGTCAAATTATCAGTAAAATAGCAAAACTATTTCTTAACATATATGAAAAATTAAATACTCTTTTGATTAACCCCTTAAGGACCAAACGTCTGGAATAAAAGGGAATCATGTCACACATGTCATGTGTCCTTAAGGGGTTAAATAAAAATCCATTGCAATAAAACATTTATTTTCTGATTTTTTTTTTTAGCATTATAAGAAGATTAAATGCACTTTATCTTCATCCTTTATCTATATGTATATATTTAATCTATATTCTGTACTGATAAAATTTCCATTGAGATTAAGAGATATAATTACCAGAAGATTACTTCAGCCTCCTTCAAGATGGCCACTGTGAATACATGGTGTGGCCAAAGAAATTCTACACATGGCATCCCTCAATGTCTGCTACACGAGTCAATTGGGAGCTGGCAGGTGTCTGCTTAGCTGCTGTAGGAAACATTTTGTGTTTGGGAGATCAACCCCTCAGCACTGGAAGCTTAGAAATACATTCCCCATATAAAATAACTATAGCTTTGCATTTATCATCTCTTGCATTATCACAATGTATATTTAGGAATATATTTCAGAGGAACGTGCCTGCATATGTGTCTATTGCACTATCAAATTAATGTTTAGGAATGCAAGCACTTGCATGACACTTCTTCCAAAAATCCAAACTATCCTGAGTTTAGCAGGACAGTCCTTATTTTGGCTTCTGTTCTCAGTTTGTTTACCGTGTGTCATTCAGTACAGTACCAATGCATCATTAGACACGCTTGCACAGTGCTGGGGGCTCTACGAGCACGTACAGAGCACTTAAAAAATGTTTAATAATGTGCTTGCACTGTGCTGAATTGTGTCTGGCCAGGAGGCTTTCAGTCAGTCTAACATCACACACCCCTTCTGTAATTTTGCTACATATCTATGCAAAAGTATTCACCCCCCCAATCCCCACCCCGCGCATCAATAGCATTTAACGGGGGTGCAGGAAGTGAAATGACAGTTCTGCTTTAGGCACTGATGATGGTTTAGGCCCACTATGTGTCCAAAAACTAAAATGGCAAAAGAAATAAAAAACTAAAATGATAATACATTAACCCCTACTCGGTATAATCATTGTAAGTCAGAGAAATTCTTCTAACTAAGCTTTTTTGTCAGGCCCTAAATTGTTAAAGGACCACTCTAGGCACCCAGACCACTTCAGCTTAATGAAGTGGTCTGGGTGCCAGGTCCTTCTAGGGTTAACCCATTTTTTTATAAACATAGCAGTTTCCAAGAAACTGCTATGTTTATTAATGGGTTAAGCCTTACCCCAAAGCCTCTAGTGGCTGTCTCATTGACAGCCACTAGAGGCATTTGCGTGCTTCTCACTGTGATTTTCACAGTGAGAGCACGCCAGCGTCTATAGGAAAGCATTGTAAATGCTTTCCTATGTGACCGGCTGAATGTGCGCGCAGCTCTTGCCGCGCGTGCGCATTCAGCCGACGGGGCGGAACGGAGGAGGAGAGAAGGAGGAGAGCTCTCCGCCCAGCGCTGGAAAAAGGTAAGTTTTTACCCCTTCCCCCCTTCCAGAGCCGGGCGGGAGGGGGACCCTGAGGGTGGGGGCACCCTCAGGGCACTATAGTGCCAGGAAAATGAGTATGTTTTCCTGGCACTATAGTGGTCCTTTAAACATGCTAATTCAAGCAAATTCTAAACCTTGCCCAACAACATATTTTGTCTGCTGGTTTTTATTTAGAAGCTGTATAAAGTTTTTCATTAAAACTACATTCTTCAAAAAACTTTATGCCACCAACCTGTTTCAGACGAACATTAGTAGTTACGATTTGATTTACTTCATCCTTAAAAAAAAAAAAAAAAAATGTAAAAATATTATTGGCACATAATATTCAATATAACACATACATGAAGCCTTGTAGGGGAAATATTAATGGAGTTTTATTGTTCATACCACATTAATGAGTTGTATAAGCTGAAGTCCAACTGTTACCACAACCTTATCTTTAAATTTATGAACAGGACGAACGACCTTGTTGTAGGTTTTAAATAGGTCGGAAATCAACCGGGATTCATCTTCAGAAGAGAGGACAGTTCCAGCTGCCGTAGGAAATACAGGGCATTTGTTTTTAGAGAAATGTATATATTTACTTTGAAACAAAATTTCAAATGAAAATCAAAAAAATGATGCAGCCCTTACAGTAAATGACAATGCAATAGAATATATGTGTATAAAATAATTTTTACAGAAAAGCATCACAGCCCTACCTGAATTCTAAATATTTGTCATGACCTTCCCAGTTGAGAGTATTTTATTTGTTGCATATAGGATGAGACACCTTTGGAAATCACCGACTGAAAAGGTACTTTTTTGGGGGGGATAGACCGATTTTGCTAGGAATGGCATTGAGTGAATATAGGCTTAGGGACTGTCCATTTATTTATATTTATGTATTGATTATTTTTGCATTTTAAATTCACAAATCTGTTCACTGAGAGTAAGTGAATGAGAGAGTGTGCATGTGAGATTGAGAGAGAGTGAGTGTTGGTGAGTGAAAGAGTGAGTGAGAGAGTGTGAGAGATTGAGAGTGAGAGATTGAGAGGTTGAGAGCGAGAGAATGAGAGTTAGTGAGAGTGAGTGAGAGAGTGAGTGAGATTGAGTGTGTGAGATTGAGAAAGAGTGAGTGAGTGAGTGGGAGAATGATACACTCCTCTATATACACACTATGTTATACTGTTTAGCTGTGGCATATAATATATTGCTAACAAGTCTAAAAGAAAATATACAAACAACCCATTAAAGTGTTATACAAAGTACACATACATTATTTCTTACATGAACTGTGAGTGCAAGGTATTTATTCAGTTTACGTTTCCAAACTCAACACTAATGTATAAAATTATTTACAATTCTTCAATAAATGTTTAAGAAATTATAGGCTGATGTACTCACTCTATAACTACTATAATATATACTAGACAAACATTAAACAAGAAAGTGACTGATAAACATACCTAAAATCAATAGGAATATTACACGTATGACAGTAAAATCCATTTCCTTCGTGTCCTCTTAATGCTGTTGCTGTTTGGCTTTCGTGTTTGCAATGAAGATATTTTAGGCAGATGAGGATCCACAGTTCCGCTAGGAGAAATGTGACTAGTTGCTATTGTGCCTCCACCTGTTCTGTATGACAGCTGAGTGTTTGACACATGGGTACTATGCTTTTTTTTTTTTCTTTTTTAATCTAAATCATTTTTGCTACAATTTCATTCTATTCACATGTGAAAAAATATCTAGGTATTTCAGGCAACAAAGATGGCGCAGTCATTTGCAATTTTTGGGTTATATTAAAGGGACACTATAGATGGCGAACCCATGGCACGCATGCCACAGGTGGCACGCCAGGCCCTCTCTGTTGGCACGCGGCCATAGGTCACCGAGAGATGGGGCCGCTGGCTGTATGCAGAGTAGGCACCTGCCTGCCCGAAACGGCAGGGGGAGGGCTCTAGGAAGCAGCTCTCCTATGCTCCTGCGAGCAAGCTGTGTGGAGCGTTGCCGCGCATTACCATGGCAATGCTCCACACAGCATCGCGCGGGAGGATAGGAGAGCTGCTTCCTACAATACTTACCACCACTGGACCACCACCGGACCACCAGGGATGGCTGTGTCCCCCCTCCTTCACCAAAGGTAAGAGGAAGGGAGGGGGGATACAGAATTAATATAACTTTTTTTTTAAATGTATCTTTACCCCTACCCCACACAGCACAACACCCCTACCCCCCATACACAGCACCCCACAGCACCCCTACCCCTACACAGCACCCTCCCCCACAGCACCCCTACCCCACAGAACCCCTACCACCCACAGAACCCCTACAGCACCCCTAGCCCCCCCCACACAGCACCCCTCCCCCCACAGCACCCCTAATGTCCTCCCCCCTGGCCCCCACCCCTCAGCGGTGGGTGGGGGCCCTAAATACTAATTGGGGGGGACCTAATGTCCTCCCCCTTGGCCCCCACCCCTGAGCGGTGGATGGGGGCCCTAAATTAGAATGAGGGGGGAGGACCTAATGTCCTCACACTTGCTCCCCACCCCTGAGCGGTGGGTGGGGCCCTAAATACATAACTTTCTGATTGGTTACTTAAACCAACATTAGGGTTTTAAACCCCTCATTCTAATTTAGGGCCCCCACCCACCACTCAGGGGTGGGGGCCAGGGAGGAGGACATTAGGTCCCCCCTCATTCTAATTTAGGGTCCCCACCCCAGGGGTGGGGGCCTGGGGGGAGGGCAATAGGGCCCCCCATTATTTTGCTTTAAGGCCCCCACCCGCTGCTCAGGGGTGGGCGCCCGGGTGGGGGCAATAGGTCCCCACCCCTTATTCTAATTTAGGGCTCCCACCCTCCGCTCAGGGGTGGGGGCTCGGGAGGGGGGACTCTTTTTTTTAATTTAATTTTTTTTAACAGTGAGCAGCCACAGGCTGCTTACTGTTTACTAGATATGCCCCTTCTCGCGGTATAGCGAGTAGGGGCATAATTTACTAATACTAAGTAATCTTTACTTAGTATTAGTAAATTTGTCTGAAAGACCAATTTAGGTCTTTCAGCCTTTTGGTAAGTAGCTCCCTAATACCGTGGGAATTAGGGAGTTATCTACCAAGCGGTTGCAGGAGAAGTTCCGAAATTCCGAAGTTCCGAAGTGTCGAAGTTACTGAAATGCCAAAGTGCCAAAGTTCCTAAGTGTCGAAGTGCCGAAGTTGCTGAAGTTCCGAAGTGTTGAAGTGCCGAATTGCCGAAGTCCCGAATTTTGGAATGCCGAACTGAACCAAAATTTTTTTCCCATGCACATGCCAAATGAGCACTTCCCTCTTTCTACTGCTAATACCTCTCCCTATACTACCAAGCATTCTGAAATGTACCAACAAATTCCGCAGCGCTGTACAATGGGTTCTTAACCTGTTCTCTCTTTATAATAGACTTGTATGAAATTAACACTGTTATAAAGTACAAGCATGTATTTATTTTAAGAGCAGTAGCAGCAAGCCATAACATTATTAATCAGATTTTACTTACAATATGAGAATGTTGTTATTCAAATCTGTGTTTCTCATATTAGAACTAATAGTAGTTCAGTTCATGTCTGGACTCTATATCTATATTTCAGTAGATGGCGCTAGAATAACATTTCTTAATAGCAGCATAGAAGAAGAGAGAAAGACGTTTGTAAATTCAGTACATTACAGACTTACCACCTCCATATATCCTGGGAGAAGTTGCTGCATACCCAGTGGATATCTATAATCAAATTGATCTATTAATATACTGATAGCACCCCTACCCATTTTATTGATAGTTAGGTATTTGATTAAATATTTCGTTTTGTTTAGGGCCTCAATCACAATCTATTGTGTAATAATATTCATAATGTAACAGATGCCAACAAGTGGTTATCGAGGTTGTTATTGAGGTCAGCACAATTGCAATTTGACTTCTCTGATGTTTTTTTTTATCAATACTTTTGTCATTTTTGGATTGTCAAAATGTGGCCCTTTTCCTTTGCTCAAGTAGTCAAGCACAAGTGATCATAATCACTCTGGATAATATTTATATTGACGCATTAACAGAAAAATCCAAGAGCCAAAAATCTCGAAGAACCACTAACAATCGAAAAGTGAATAAATAACCACAAAATGATCAAGATTCAGGGTCACTTCTTTGAACGGTAAAAAAAGTGATAAAAAGATTTTTGCTTACTTTTTTTTTTTTAGCACCAAATCTCACTCGGAGCTGCCACGAGCTCCTCCTCCTGTAATATCAAACCTGGAGATGTTGCATCCTAAATGATCATTTAATCCAACGCTTCCTACATAGAAGGACTGGATCCAATGTTTTCCTATGAGTTGCATTTGATGATGTTAGACCTTATGCGGTGGTGAGGGCGATGACCGAGTCAAACTTGGTCTTTGCAGTGGAAGCACCTCTAGAGGCTGTCAGGAACACAGTGACTAGAGGTGTCACTAAAAATAACATTGCCATTTCTACAAAATGACAGGGACACTGCAGATGTCTGGGTGACTTTAGTGGTCATTTAACAAAATTGCTGCCATCTGCAGCTCCTAAACTGCACATGACGATCGGATTGGCTGTCTATAACCTTCAACGTTTGATGAAAATTTCTATTTTGTTTGCCTGTAAAAGAACAATCCCATCCGAGTTTTAAATTGTTATGGGAGTTGGGAATGTTCCTTGAGATTAGTGTGGAAAATTGTTTACAAAGTATCAATGTAGCCAAGTAGCCAATATATTGTCTAAAGATAGAGATTATCCTTTGTTGGTAGGGTTTATAATTGTGGCAGATTTGGTTTATTCTTTTTCATATTTCAGCTAGTTTAACAGTTGTGTGGAAATACTGTTATGTTGTAAATATAAAATCACCAAACTGTCCAAAACAGAACTTCTGGTCTTCCCTCCCTCAAGTGTTGCTACTCCCTTGTCTGTGTCCCTCCAAGTCAATGGCACTAACATACGTTCATCCATCCTGTTTGTACTCCTACCTCTGATTCTTGCCTTAAAGACTTCTCTAGAGCTGCACGATTCCTATGGAACACCCTTCCCCTCTCTGTTAGACTTTGACCCAATCTCCACTCATTCAAAAAATCTTTGAAAACGTATTTCTTTAGGAAAGCATATCAATTAAACTGTGAACAGCTTTCCCTCCCTGCACCCTCATTCCTCTCATGATACTGTCATTAAAAAAAAAACCTAAACCCTCAATGAATACTATCTTAGCAACCTACTTTTCTACCCTAAAATCACAGTAATATCAGCGCTTTAGTAGATAATCCCTTATAGTCAAAATTTAAGGAAACCGCATAAAATGCAGGAATATTACAATAAATGTAAGAGTAAGAATGTCAGTTAATAGAAGGATATGTCCATATATAATTGGGAATTGTAACTGTTTTAAAATCTTGCAGTTGAGGTCTGTGTCCTTCGGTGTAACTTTATGTCCCACCTTCAATCAAAGAAACACTGACATAGCGTAATATAGTTACAAAAGTTTATTCCCTATTAAGACATAAAAACCTCCCATAAGAGAAACCCTTACACAGTTTTGTTGTGGAACTTATCTCTAAGTGTCACTATAAAAGCCTGAGTACAACAGTTTCAAGCCAAAGTTGTACTTTACTGCTCCGTTGACAGTTACTGACAAACCGGTCCTGTGCACTCAGACGATGTCTCCCAGGAGCGTCGGCTATTGTGTACTCGCCTTCACAAAGATTCAGTAAACGAAGGGTTAAGGTATTAGAATAAGAACGAACAGTTAACTGTGAATAAATGGAAATTATATTCATGCAATTCAAAGTTTGGAAGAAAAATTAAATATTAAATGCAATAGTACGAATAGGCAAAAAAACAATACAATACTGCTTTGGTAGTCCGGCGAATATTAAATAATGTTAGCGGTAATAGAGAAGCACAGCCGATTCTACAAGTTTTTTACTGGCACTCCACCCGGTGTGTGTTCCATAACCATCCCAGTCCAGAGATGTAAAGTCTCCACACTGTCTAGGATTGGCCTCCGGGAAGTAGCCCCCTCCTCCAATACAGTACTGCAAAAACAATGGACATCTTTGCATTATACTTTAAAATACATTCAAATATTCTAATGGTAGATATTAGCTAAATTTTACTGTAAATATTCTGCAATTTTATTGCTAGCATGTTGTCACCCTCCTGTTTGCTACCTGCTTCACACACCCCCATCACCACCCGCCTGTAAGTTCACTTAGATTCACCGCTGCCCTCACCCATGACATAATTTGATGAAAGAGACTGCGATATATCATGATAGCCCCAACCCATACCTACTGGACCAACACTGCAGGAGGGCTCTTTATTTTATTAGGGCCCCTAACACTAGTGAGATGTCCTTTGGCACCTTGTAAAATATATATTTTTTAAATAAATAGTTTTACACAATTTATGTTGGATTCTAAAGAAGAATGTAGGGGTTAGATCTATAAGTATGAATGTGAATGGTTCTTGATATGTCCAGGGGTACAACTGGGCATTAGACTAAAAAATCACTGCATGATATCAAACTTAAATATACAATCACTGATCTCACCTCGTCTTAATGTAAACCTTTTATTTTAGCATGAATATGACTCATTAGGCTCTCTGTTTTCTGCCATCTCTTTTCTTGGTGAGAGTACGATGTTGCTGTAAAATTCCTACTGTCAGGAAGACTATATGTTGGAATATGTGGTATAAGTTTTCCCCTCTCTTCCAAAGTCTTGAGCTGACTTTGGAGATCTGATCATGAGGATCCCAATAGTGTGAGTGACTTTTCATGTTTTATGTTTTTTGTTGTAAGAGTGATTATGTTGAGTTTAGTTGTATCATTTAAATATAAATATTTATATAGCACCTGTGTCTGGGCCCAGAGGAGCCAACAACCAATATACATTACTGGTTCCACACTTACATGTTCTGTATTGCAGCCGATAGTTTTTATGCCAGCACAAAGGGCTATAGCCGCTTTCTCATTATTAAACACTCGGAACTGAACAAATCCAGGGGTGGCAACATCTAAGGAAGAGAATAAAGTACCATTGATTTAAAAGTGAAAATCGATGTAGATAGGGTTGACAGATAGACAGATAAACTAAGAAAAGAGTGAACAATGTATTATAGGAATTAATGCCTTTTAATGGTTTTTCTAGCATCATATAAAATGCAAGACCAAAGGTCAAGTTGTCTATAAATGTCTTCAAAGTCACGAAATAGCATTATCTACTGTACTATACACTTTGCTTTTATGTATTTTCATTTTACATGATATTCTAGAGTTAGGATTTTATGATTAATGTAGGGTTAGAGTTATAGGATTATTTACCAAATGAAAAACTGTAGCGACTTTTAATCCATATGACAACTTATATAAAAACTTGGCTACTGCGACCTTCATTTGGCCATTTGGATATTACTTCTCAACATTTCTGAGATTAATGCAAAACAAAAATTTTTACTTTTGGGGAAAAAATAATATAAATAATAAATAAAAAAAATAAATCTATATCTATAATCTTACTTTTTATAGATCGTGTGTAGTATTGAGCAGTTTTCTCAGGGTCACCAAAATCATACACCACTGGCTCAGCAGGTCCATTATTTTTAGGACATTCTCCGATATTATATTTTACTGGAAATTTCTAAAGAAGATATCAAAATGTTTATGCAAGTAATTATTCTAGTTTTTAAAATTTATTTAACAAGTAAAACTATTTTTTTTTTATCTTTAGAATCTTATCACCTGCACTGCAGAGTCTACCAGGCCTTGTTATTGATATTGCGATATGTTAGTCTATTTTATGTCTCCATAACACAAGCAGTATGACCGGGCTTATTCTGTTAATGCTTGGCTGACTTAACTTGACTTTTATGTTCGTGTTTCAATGCCTTGCAAAGACTTCTCATTGAGCAGCATTGGGAAGTCTGTGATTGGACAGCCACAGAAAGTCTGGGTGGGGTTAGAAGGGGAAGGTTTGTAAAGGAGGCAAACAAGAGATCTGCAGCTTTTGCAAGCTGTTTTTAGGTATATACCCAATTAAAAAACCGCATCATTAAAGTCAAGCAAGGCAACACTAAGCATTGAGTTTATTTTTTTTATTTTTTTATTTGGGACAGTAGAATGTACCTTTAATAAAACCATGTATCACAGCTATACCGCATCCATCCTTAAACTGTGAAATCCATCCCACAGCCTCTGCTTCTGGATCTCATTCTGCCCCTCATATAAACAATGT